TAATATTTTCAGGACAAAATTCATATAGTTAAGGCTTTTTGGTTGCTATAACAAAAGTATTATGTTATACGAACAAACCGTAATCAAACGAGATATTTGTTTACAGGAACTAAACAGTTTTGTTGGGCATATTTTAACCAAATTATTTTGTTGTTACAACAAAATTTTGGTTCACGCAACGATACATTTTTCCTAGTGTAGGCAAGCCATAAGAAGGTATTATGAGTGGTTCTTATCCGGTCGGAATGTGGCAATTGTCTTGCAATATTTTCCGGATTATACCCTGACCAGCGATGACGTCATTATTTGCATGCCTGATTTGGTCCTGATGGACATTTGATCAGGTTTGTCGATTTTAGGCAATTTTATCAAGGCATTATGCAGCAGTGCGTTTCACTCTTTATTACATGCCGGATCCGATAAAGTTATCCGGGTCTTGTTTGAAGTTTGGAAGCCGGATGGGGTTTTAATACAGCCGTGGGACGGTGTTTTGCTCGGGTTGTTTTCGCGCCGTCTTCGTCTCTCCAGCTGAGGTGAATGACCGGCGTGGTGGGAGACGTCTGGCCGAAACGACCGAGCGATCGCAAGCCGCGGAGTGGGGGAAAGGCCGCGTGCACCGCGTGCAGTCACGTGCAGCGCCTGCTTCCCGGAATAGCGTCTGCGGAATGCGGTTATTGTTTCCGCCGCACGCGGCCCGTGACCTACCTTAAAGCGGCAGCGTCGGGCCGCAGTCGAGAGCGCGGATCGATGCGAAAATCGATATCTCCATTTCTAGACATCGTAGCGGCATGAAATAAAAGCCATTGGAAAGGGGAACCTACCGCGCTTCCGATGGGCGTTCTTCTGTGGAACCAGGACTAATTAACATAACTGATTAATCCTTACTTTGTATATATGAAATGTATGCGAGTGAATAAAAAGTATATGAATAAAAAATCGATATTCGCGACGCACGTCTTTCTGCGCAGCTTTCTTGTCGTCGACATTTAGAGGAAGACTGTGATACATCAAACGTCATGATAGAAAATTCCCATTTAAGAAAATTCCCTACGCGATGGGCAACGATGTACTGTAGATTGATGCAGAGAAAATGGAATCTATAAAAGTTAGTTAAAAAACTGAGGAGTTGCATATCTTGACGATTTCGCACGGATAACTATGTAAATGTAAAAATATTCATGCTGCATCTTCTGCGAAAACACTTGGGAATTATGGAAGCCTCGTGTTTCATAGAAATGTATGTCCGATGAAAAGTCGAACCTTCAACGTGGTGTCACAAAAGAGCCGAAAGAGAGAGAGGGAGTAAAAAGGAATTATATCTTTAAACAAATTGTACAACATCAGGAACGAAAACACTATCAGCGGTTAAAGAGAAGCTTACAGTGTATCTCGGCTCCCAAGTCATTTTCATCTTAAGGATCATTCTTCATTTATATCCGTCGCTTTCCGTGAATGAAAATATCCACGTGAGTCACTCTGCAGGCGATAGTAGCGCCGCCATTGTACGATCCCTCTTTGCCGCCGGTACGACACGAGGTGTCACAGTGGCATAGTGAGAGACAGGTTGACCTTAGCGACGTAACCGAGGGTGGCTCCAGAGATTCGTCCCCCTCGTTGGCGGTCCTGCGGAAAATTGGCCGGCAGCCAATGAACCGAAATGTGGGCCAACTTCCTCCGCCGCCGATAATTCCACATTCATCTTCCCCTCTCCCTATATTCCTGCTGCATCCTGTGCCACATCGGATGCAAATGACACTGCCAGATCCTTATTAATTGGCAGATTCGCAAGGATCGATATCGGCTAGACTTTTTGCTGTCCGGCGAGGACAGGCTCGCACCGATGGAAGTGCACGCGTTTGAACGTTGTCATGAAGCGCGGACAAGGTCGCAAGTTGAAATCCAATTGCCGAGGCATCAAAAAACTCTCGGGAAAATTGCAATGTAAAAGTACCCTCCGACCATGAGCAGATAATTAATGAATTTTCCGCGTGTTCACTTGAGCCAATGAAGAAATGATCATCAAAAGATTCATTTCATGCGCGTATCTGTAACGCGCAACGACGAGTGCGAGAAGGAGGTGGGGGGAAGGGGTGCGTAATGGTGTGAAATTTTGGTTTATTCAGCGAAAGAGTTGTATATGAAAATAGCGGCGTTCCGATTACGCGGCTAGGGATTTCGCGATAATCTTATCGTACAGCGTGTTGGGCGACAACAAATTCTGTAAGCCTTGCTTGTCGACTTCCACGTGATTAATCAGGGGGAGTAATCAATATCGTCTCTCCTCCTCGCTCGAGATTTTAACAGCAACGACTGCGTTCTGACGGCGCTCGGCGACACCGAGCGAGGGAAATGCATCAGAAGACTCTTCGAATTCCCGAGTAGAAAAATTAATAGGGCTCTCTAGTACTAATTATTTTTAGGCCTAATTATTTTTCTCTAACATTAATCCGGCTCTAGTATTAGGGGCAGAAAGACAAGGGCCGTACAAGATGTGTAAGAAATGGTTTAACGGGTCCTTATAAGGCAACATTATGAGGGCCTTACATGGAAATATTTTTATTATTGCTTGAGTAAAAATATTGCTTCTTTTTATTCCAAGAAATTCAGACTGTAATTTCGTTATAACTTTGTTGGTATGAAACAAGAATTTTTTATTTTAAACATATAGCGTACTTTACAATAAAATATAGCATTCTTTACACATAAAAATCCTGCTACTGTTTTTATTAAAGTTTGCTGCATTTCGAAAACGAAGGCAATACTAGAAAAATCCTTGGAAGAGACTTATGAATATGGCAACTAATAAAACTAATAAAATTTGTTTTTAATTGCGGTATAATTAAAAAAATCTGTAAAAGGACCAAATAGAGCGTACCTATTAAAACAATACTAAACTATGACAATCTTATTACACATTTCAGATTTTATTAATTTTTTACACAAACTCGATTTTGTATATTTAAAGCATCCTTAAAAGATCCTCCCAAGGCTCACATCAGTTTTTTTCATGTTAAAGCGTTATTTCGTAAAATCTAAGACACCCCTAAAAAATCCTTCCAAGGCCCTTCTCAACTCTTCCTACCAAAGCTTTCTTTCGTAAAATCTAAGGCATCCCTAAAAGGTCCATCTCGGGCCTGATGTGGCAATAATGAAGCATTCCTTTTTAGAGCATCCTACCTTCAGCCTTATCGGGGCTTTATGCTTCACGAAGATGGCTCTAACAATGTTTCGCTTGGGTTACAATCGGGGAACGTCTCGAACGGAATTCCGGCTAGCGTTTTCGCACTCGAGAGCTCGGAACGGCGGAGGAGGCGAGGGACCGGATCATCGGAGATATTGGGGGCCGCTTCTATTTATGGCGGCGAATATGTGCGCTCACGAGTGAATGCAAATATATTCCTGGAGGAGCCGGTGCAATCAGCACGGCGCGCCATGCGACGCTCGTCTCGAGCCACGCGGGCTGAATTAAACGACGCGTTCGAAATCAATCGCACACACGTGCTCCGGCGATCCACACGCGCGCTCATCGGCTCTGTCCTGAGTGTGCTCCCCCCCGCCGCGGCGGGGGCATCATCGCTGGCGGATACTAAAGTCGAAGAAAGCAGCCGGCGATTGTAATTAACCCATATATTCCCAGGGCTTTCGCTGCTAACGACGCGCCGCGAATTGCTCTAATTGGCATTGCGAGCGAACAATGCGCGAGAGCGAAGCTCGCAATCGTCGCTTGATTAGACATCTCTCGAGTGACGCGTGGGTGTTCGCCGGCATGAGAGGGGGAGAGAGAGGGAGCAGGGGGAGAACGCGCGAATGTGCGTGCGTGCCGTGCGGCTGGCTGGCTGGCTGGCTGGCTGACTCGTGACGAATGAAGCGGACGGTGGTGTTGGTAGCAACGAGGGGTATTGATTTTGTGGTACAATACGGCAACTGCGAGGTGGAGCCGTTGCAGCTCCAGTGGCTGTCGCACCGCCATATTTGTTTCCCTCAGCAGGACGGAGCAGACTGCGGAAAGCGGATTTTCTGCGGGCTCCAGCGCGCCGTCGTGTCGTCCCACGATTACGTAAGTACAGCTCGGACACTTAGACACGATCTCCGCGATCGTCCGCGCCTCTTCGCCGGTCACGACAGCCCGCGGCGTGCGAAAGCGGCGGACTCGGAGCGCGAAGCATCCCCTTTCAGAGAGCGGCGAGAGAGCGGCGGCGAACTCGCGCGCTCGACGAGGGCCCGCGTAAACAACGCGTGACAAGTGCTTGACAGGTGGTTGTCTCGGCGAAACTGCTCCCTCGACTCTCGTCGAGGTGCTCGAGTGTCGTCCCGGAGTTGTCGCGCGGCTCGTTGCCGCGCGATCGCCGAAACGCTCGCGCGGCGCGACGCGGCTGGCTCGTTCTCGCATCTTCGACGATAATCACGGTGATTCGTGTCGATTCGCGGTCCTCACGGGCCGTCGTGTGGCAACGACGTGTGTCGGCTCGTCGCCGACGGACGGCGGGGAAACTTCGATGACGGTGCGTCCCGACTGGATGTGTGACTCACGCGCGATGACGACGGAGAAACGCTGCGACGGAGCGACGCAGGAAGCTAATTGTCGCGCTCACGCGGATCCTCCGGAGAGGATTTTTCTTCATCTTCCTGGAGAGGAGCCCCACGACGGCGTTAGAACGACGCCGATGTCGCCGAGTGGAAAGCGCGTGGGACGCGCGTCTCCGAGCGTCTCGGCTGACTTACGGCTGACTTTGTCTCCGACACGGAAATTGTTTTCCATTTGCAGCAGTGACAATCTCCCTTCCCGTGTTCCACATCGTGGAATCGCTGTAATTTAGATAAGCTGCTTCGGCAGCCAGCCAGTCGAGCGTAAAAGCTCGTATCGTGCCAATCATCGCGCGATCGATCGTTCATTCTCGGCTGCGGCACGTGTCAATCATGTGCGCGGCTCTGTTTGGCCGGGTAAAAATTAAATACCGTTCCGTCCTCTCTCTCTCTCTCTCTCTCTCTCTCTCTCTCTCTCTCTCTCTCGCTGTCTCACTCGCGGAAGTACATCCAGAGTTTCCGTACTGCGTACTACGAAGGCGAGAGACGGGCAATTTATGCATGAACATTTTCTCCGTCTCTCCGTGTTTCCTCGCGGCGCGGCTCTATTCTTCTTTATTTATTGCCCCGTGACGCTGCGGCGAACACAAAGCAAGCCACGCGCCTCGTATAAAAGCGTGTGGCGTTAGGATGGAAATAGACGTAGCTATATCCTTCGTAATCATGTGTAAAGCGTGTGTCCTGCAGTGCTGGCGGGGGTGGACGTATGACCGAGTGATAAGGGTGACGCTTATACCGGTCCACAGTAGGTTGAAAATACATACGGAAATGTGTGCTCGTGCCCCGCGAAAGGTCTTTGCGCTGAATAATTTAAAAGCGGCTGTGATCGATTCGCAGGTGAGCCGCAGGGAGGAGACGCGACGCGGACTATTCCGGTCGACCTCGATTGCCATTCGATCGAATCGCGCAATTATACTGCATAATTTCGAAGCGCGTCTCTCTCCGTGTTACGTATCTCGCGGACGATTATCTTTCCAAGCAGCGGCTCGTCGCTGAAAGCGCGAAATAATATTGACAAACCGCGGGAAACGAACGCGAATTGTCAACTCGGAGCTCGCGAGAGTCGCCAACGCGATGTCTCGCGCGATGATTTCGCGCGATATTTCTATTTATATTTCGCAGAAGAGCAGACGGATATACGTTCTCTTTAACCTCTTTGGGAGATTATGTCGCTCGAAGTGCTTCGCTTCGTTTTCCGGAAGACCGTTGCTCGCGTCCGTCATTTCATACATCCAATTTCGCTTTACGGCGCGGCCGAACACGCCGCGTTTACTTACTGCAGAGATCGCGTATTTTCCTGCGCTGATCGATACAAAAAAAGTTGATGTTGATACGCGCGCTAGATTCGAGTTGCGTGCGCCGATCCCGTAAATGATAGGCAAGAGAAAGAGAGGGGCAGGAGAGAGGAAGGGTGCGTTTGTGGAAAGCCGCATAAAACGGAGGCGCCACATCGTCTGAGGCTGGCGCTCGATAAAACTACGTTACATTACGTGCGAACGCCATGCGAGGCTTATTATTTCCCCCGCCCCCCCCCTCCCTCCGCTCTCCCCCGCGTTTCTTCCCCCGCGCTCCGTTTCTTCCCCTCCCTTCGCTCTTCCAGTCGTCAAACTGTCACACTGGCTGCGAAGGTCATTAAGCGAAACTGTGTCACAATAGCAATAGCGGCGGTCCCGTTTTGTACGAGCGGGAAAGTGGATCACGCATCGCGTGATTCCCGCCGAAATTTTGCCATCACAGAGGAAAATCCCTTCGACAAGGAAAGATCAGATAGGTCTTACTCGAGGACCTCGGCAGGGGGAAGCCCGAGAGGGAATTACATTTACAACGGGACTGTACATTTACATGTTCGGGGGAGGGGGTGGAAAGTTTCACGAGATCCTCCGGGCGAGAGATGTGAGCACGCCGATATTACGCAAAGGATATTACACAAAGGACACGTCTCTCGTAAAAGTTTACGAGAGACCCCCCCTCCCGCCCTCGGAGAGCAGACCGCCGCGGAAATTATTTTCCGGACTGATCCGCGACGGTCGTAAATGCAGGATCACGCAAATAATACCGCGCCGTACCGGTGCACCCTCCGCCCGCGATCGGGGGTGCGGCGGGGGTGGGAGAAGAGAGAAACAGAAGACGAAGAAGACGGGGGAAGAAAGTTGCAGCGCGGCGCAGTCGATTATTTTAATCGAGCGCATGAAAACGGACGACGGTTGTCGACCTAGTTTCGCCGTCGCACTACAGGTCTCCATGGAACTTTGCATAAGCCGTCATCCGCGACGCGTATACATATATAATCCCACATTCATATCGAGTGAACGCAGCTGGGGAATTATTCCCCGTTTCGTACTCCCTTGTACTTCGCTTTAGCCTACTTTAGCCTCGGTGGCCGGTCTCGCTGCGATCCGCGCGGCGCGGCGCGGCGCGACACACTTCGCCACTTCGCCGAAGAGAGGTACGGGGACGAGCGTGCGACTCCGCGCTTCTGCTCGTCGGCGAGGTCTGGTCGAATTTCAATTCCAACGAGCTCGAATTTCAATTCCAGCGAGCTCGATCTCTCTCGGGATGGCGAGCTGGCGTCGAGCCGATTAACTCGCGGAGAGCGCGAGAGCGATGCTTTTCAGCGCCTTAGACTGGGTGAAGGAAGTGACACGACGCTTGGTCGCCGACGATTACGAAGAAGAAGAAGAAGAAGAAGAAGAAGAAGAAGAAGAAGAACAAATGAAGAATCTAGAAGAAGAAGAAGAAGAAGAAGAAGAAGACTGTGAGGCGTCTCCATCTCGTTGACATCGTGACGACCAGCGGCCAGAGGAAATCGAGACGGGGACTCAGAGGCTCGCCTCGCGCGCGGCCAACTCGGAATCAAAGACTCAGCAGCACCCTGCCGCGGTCGCTCGCTCGCAGGCCATGAAGAGGCCTGCGTCTGCGATTTCCCGGCGCGCAGCCCGGCCGCGCGGACGAGCGCGCAGATTTCACGGGGAGAACTCGGGGGAAATCCGGCGGCAGAGCACGGCTCGGCCGCCATCTCTGGTGATCAGGCCGCATCATCCTCTCCCGCGAGCGTCTTCGGGGTTCGCACCGGGTGACGTCAACTGCGGTAACGCGCGCGCGGCGCCGTTGCAGTTTCGCGACGCGCAGCCGCGCGGCGACGCGATCAATGCGCGTCCCCGCGCGACGGCTCCGTTGGCGCATACTGCACGCGGCTCGAGGCGGAACATGCGCGCGGGTGGACTCGTCCTGCGGTAAAAAGGAGAGCTTCCTCGCGCGGAAGTCTGACGTGGTGGACGTGGCCGAGGCAATGCGTACGTGAACCGTCCGATGAGTTCGTGAGTCGTCGCGAGAGTTGACGCGAGCGGCGCCGAGTGCGAGACTTGCGACGGCGGCCGGAAGCAGCTCACGCAAGAGCTGCGCCGAGTTACAACGTCGAGCTGCCAAGACGAGAGTCGACGCGACGCAGAGCTGCGGAGAGGACGCCTCCTCGCGCGAGCGACACGTTCGCTCCGCACGATGTAGAGACCAGGAGCGAGCAGGGAGCAGGTCTGGCAAGCGCTTGGTCTCCGAGCTGTTTCGACAGCTCCACCCTTACACAGTCGGCCGATCGTTCGTCACCCTCTGCCTCTCTCGTTGCCTTTCCCCACTCCTGCCTGCGCGCCTAGCGAACGACCACGGTGAGATTCGCCGAACGATAGAGCACGGTTTCGACTTATATAACAGCTCGAGGCGAGCACGGTGCGAGCACCGTTTGAGGATCTCGATTCGTCGTGTGTCTTGTTGAAGTGTTGAAGACGGACTGGAGAGCGATCTCTCTTCCGACAGTTTGAAGCACCGATCACCGAGTTGTCGAGGAGCAGCGACCGAGCGGAAGAGCGGAAGTGTGAAGGAGATACTTTGCGGGTATTCACACGAGCTTGAAGCTTGAGAGACTTTGAGAGAGAAGAACACAAAGTGCGCGTGACAGCAGCGTGACGATCAACAGCTGTGCCTGCGTAGGATGAGAAGAGGCGCAGCTAGACGCGGCTAGCTAGTTCGGGCTTCGAGCGAACGAGCGAGCAACCTACCGCGGGCAGGATGCCGAGACCAGTGCCGGTGGAGAACCTGGTGATACCGCCGCAGGATGGCCGCATCTGCGGCACGATCTGCATCTGCCAGATGACGGCGGTGCTGTCGTCGGTCGCGCTGGTCTACCTGACGGTCGCGATCTACATGCCGAGCACACGGGCCTTTCAGTCGGGCATCAGCGAGGTGCCGGTGATGTGCACGACGATACGCGCGGTGAACGCCGACAATTGCGACTGGGGCAGCTGCGGCGAGTGGTGCCTGTCCAAGACCTCCGGGCCGTGCGTGCAGATCCACGTGAACCTACGCAGGAACGGCTCGACGATCCTGCTGGCGAACTGCACCAACACCACGAACAAGACGTGCTACGGCATCGACCAGGAGAACGCGAAGAAGTCCAAGTGCATCGCCGACGAGTGCCGCAACCTCACCGGCACCTTCAACTGCTCCGCCGGCACCTGCATCAACATCACCGACGCCTTCGAGTGCATGTTCCACGACACGGACCCGCCGCTCAAGTGCTCCGGCCGCCGCGGCAAGATCACCTGCATCGACATAGACGGCCTGTTCAACTGCAACCGCGGCACCTGCGAGCGCATCAGGACGCCGTACAACTGCGACCGCAGGTGCGTCGACATCCCGACCAGGAACAAGAACATGATCCTGCTGAGCGGCGACAAGGTCTACCTGAGCCAGTGCGAGCGCGCGATCGACGTGGAGACCAACCGGGAGATCTGGCACGAGGACCGCGGTGACGTCATGATGGCGTCCTGCTACGGGATCTTCAACTCCACCTTAGGCGTGGAGGCGGTCGACTGTATCAACGGCTCCGTCCTCGAGAAGGACCTGCTGACCGACCTCACCAACTTCACGTACCTGTCCTACCTGAACATATTCGCCACCAAGCCGCTGGACGCCGACAAGTTGGTCGCGCCGCCGGAGCAGAGCCTGATCATCGCCAACGAGAGCCGGCTGTTGATCAATCTCGAGGGATGCGTCAACACCCTGCGGGACGAGTGCAAGGAGTTCCTCCACGAGTACGGCAAGGACGGCTCCGACCATAACGCGCGCGCCAGGTTCCCGTGTTACTACGCCGAGGACAACACGGACGTCGTCGTGTCGCGCTTCAATCTACAGACGACCTACAAGGAGTTCCTCATCGCTCTACTGCTGCCGAGTATCTTGTTCGTCGTCAGCTGTCTCACTCTGATCTTCTGTCAGAGGACAGTCGTCGTCGGGGACGACGCTAAAATGAGGTTCAAGGGCACGCCCGGCACGCTGGTCTCGATTGAGAAGAGCGCGTCGGGCAACTTAGGGGATGCTGGCGGAGGAGACTCCGTCATGGCGCTCTGAGATCCGTCACGTAAGAGATGTTTCATGTTGGAACGGGGAATGGTTGCGCTTTCGAGCTGCCGTCGCCGTCGCCGTCGTCGAGTCGCGTCGCGTCGCGGAGCCTTCTCGGGCGCTCGGAGCGCTCTCGCCTTATTATCTCGCGGTGATTGCTGCCGCTGTTTCGCCAACAGCTTTATCTCCGGCATTTTTATCTCCGCGCGTGTCTCGTAGCTTGAAGAATTCGTTTGTCGCAACGATAATAAATAAGTCAGTCGATATAATTATCTAAAATTACTTGTATTCTCTCTCTCTCTCTCTCTCTCTCTCTCTCTCTCTCTCTCTCTCTCTCTCTCTCTCTCACTCTCTCTCGGTGTCGAAGCTCCGAAGCACAACTATTTTGCACTCGCCGTAATAGCGGTTACATTTATACCATTCGATAATCTTGTCCGTTAATCTGTATAACTTTCTCGGTCCATAGATAGTCTAAGTCGCGAAACTCAAATCGGATTGGAGCGATACACGAAAGTCTTGTAACTTTAAAAAAGTATTGACTTTAATAAAAACATTTAATAAAATAGCTGAAGATATAGAGTATATGGTTGAATTACTTTGTCCAATGCTGTCGCAGTGCTCCAAAAGGTCTCTTGCGTCGTCGGTCGTCTTCTCTTCGTCGCGAAAAGAGAGAGAAGCGAAGTAATCGCGGACTGTAGAATAACTCAAAATAACAAATATACGCATGTTCAAACGCGTGCTTCAAATTGAAGCGCGAGAAGCTGAGATAGCGTTTCGAAGTTCGAGATACTCGAGCGCATTAATCGGCGCAGAGTCCGCAAATTTTTAACGAGAGGCTCACTGCGCGATATTGGCAGGAATCTGCAGTCGCGCGCGCGTAGATTCTGCGAATCGAGACCGATTTCGTCAGCAAGCGAGTCGTTGAAGAGTAATCGCAGGATTTGCGTCATTTGCAAGTAACGTCGCTCTTTCTAGGAACACCAGTGACGCTGTGATCGCTTCCATCGATCTCTCACGCGCTGCGCAGCGTTATTCTTCGTTATTTCGCTGTCACTCGATAGTTATTCGATCGACATCGTCGAGGGCTCACTTGAGAGTATCGACCCGCAGATTCGAAACGTACTCGCGGCGCAAACGACGCGGTGTATCGATATGTCCATTGAGCCGAGACACTGCACTGGGAAAAAAAATGTAGTATCTCTAACAAAACTGTTTAGTTGAGGCTGATTTTTAATAGCAACCAAATATCTTGTTTTATACGGCAAAACATTTAGTTGTCTCAACCAAGTATATTTTTCTGCTTTGTTCTCCGGACCAAATGATTTTGTTCTTAGACTTTATGTATAAAAATTAAGCATTTTACTTATTTCATCCATAAAAATTACATAATAACGAAATATTATTTTACATAAACTACAATAATGCCCAATGGATTACTATTTTGTATTTCTGTGCACTGAAATTTAGATTTTATATATTAAGAAAAAATTATAGTATTTTCAGAACAAGATTCATATATTATAGTTAAGGCTTTTTGGTTGCTATAACCAAAAGTATTACGTTGTACGAACAAACCGTAATCAAACAAGATATTTACAGGAACTAAACAGTTTTGTTGGGCATATTTTAACCAAATTATTTTGCCATTACAACAAAATTTTGGTTCACGCAACAATACATTTTTTTCTAGTGTATACCAAGCATGCGCCACCAAGTATACGCCGTTCCGAGCACTAGTAGACGCGAAAGAAAAAGGCGCACGCGTGTATTTCTTATTTTAAGCTATTCTACAATCGGGCTCGCCGAGGCGAGTCGGCGAGCGCGTTAGAGAATTATTATGACCATTAACAATGTCGCGATACACAATTGCTTTGGTGTTGTGTTGACAGGCATTCCCCTCCTGGAGGAGAGTCCGGCTCGTCAGTCGATATTCTCCCTGCGCGGGCATTACTGAGGTGTGGGGAGGGGGGGAACGCGTGATTAAAATTCTCATCTTGCAATTTGACGAGGCGAAAAAAAAACGATCGAACGAACGAACGAACGAACGAACGAACGAACGAACGAACGACAAATACGAGCAACACGTACACACTCTTGCAAACCAACAAATAAAAAAAATACTAAGTACCGAGAAACCGAACGAAGCGAAATAGAAAGAGGGCGAGAGCGATTAGGTGGCACACCGAGGTCAAGAAGAATTTATCTACTCGCACTGCCTGCACCAATACAAAAAAAGAAAATACTCCCCGGAGCGTACACACACGCATGCTTGTGTGGCACACGAGAGGGGAACGATGTCACGATATCGAGCGTAACGATTCAGCACGGTTCTCTCGTCGAAGAGGAGACACGATACCGCCCGAGAGCGGGGGGGATTTTTCTGAAATTCGGCGCGTCTTTCACGTATACTTATACATAAACACGCATTCGTGACATTCGTAGCTTTTAAGAGGTTCCCCTTTTTCTCATTGATTTGCCGTGACCAATAGCTAGGAGTTTCTAATAGCCGAGAGAAGGAGAGAGAGAGAGAGAGAGAGAGAGAGAGAGAGAGAGGTGCGCCTTGCCAATGGATGATCGACTGGAGACTGGAGACGAGCTCTCGACAGGGTCGCCCACGTAACATCGTCGTAACATCACACTGTGCGTCTTCGTAATCGCCATGTGAGCGCGGAGCTCACGGCATAACAACGACATCGGCGCGAGTCTACGGCCTATACGAGCTACTCGAAGAGGAAGAAGAAGAAGGAGAAGAAGAAGACCTCCGTTATGAAGAATCCTAACGTCTGAACGGTCTCTCGACGGTACTTCGAGTCTGCGACGTAGCCTTCTTCTGCGTTTGTGAGTTTCCCCTTCCGCACGAGTCTGGTCTCCTCGTCGCTCGACTCGTCCCGCTAGATTGCTTCCTAGCCGAATCGGTACTCTTCAAGATCGCTCGATCGGGGAGATTGTTTTGTCGAGGAGAGGATCATCTGCATTTGCGCGGTGCGGCCATCGGAAACGACGAAGTCGTTCAGTCGCGTGAGCCGAAGTGACGCGCGACGGTGAGCGCGCAGGTCTTGAAGTCAAAGGGTGGTGAAGTCTCGGCCGCGGGAGTCGCGGCTGCCGGCATCCTCCGGGAACTTTTCGAGCGTCGCCAAGAGGACCCTCGCGGTCCACCAACAGCCGCAACTATTGATTCCGACGAGTCAACGATGATAATGGGGGTCCAGGTGGAGGAGTCAAAGATCGGCGCCATGCTGAAGAAGGCCAAGTTCTACACCTCCCTCTGCCTGGGCACCACGGCGATCCTCGCGGTCTTCGGCTTTCTCTTTCTGATCCCGTTCGTCGTCGAGCCGGCGATATCCACCATATTGGCGGACTTTTCGCCGCACGCGGTCGCCTGCGTCACCACGGACCACGTTTACGCGGAGGGTCTGAAGAACTGCTCGTGGTCGAGCTGCAGAGAAGGTGAGTCCCGAGCTCTCTCTCTCTCTCTCTCTTAGCTCGCTCTCAGCTACGCTACACAGTGTCGTGATTGTCGCAGGTTGCACCAGTGCGGCGCTTCGCTGCCATCAGATCAGAGTCAACTACACCAGGATGCTGTTCGACGAGTTCATGGCGAAGCCGCTGGGCTCGGTGCCGTGGGACGTCACCGACACCAAGTTCTTCGTCAACACGGAGGGATGCGGCTACCCGCCCACGGTCAACTGTTCCGCCTTCGCGAAGCAGTACGCCTACAGGAACATGGGGAAGGTATTTCCCTGTTACTACAGCAGGACGTATCCGGAGACGGTTGTCGCGAGGTACGATCGATTGAGGCGAGATGCGAAGTCCGAAGCAAGTCATGTCGTTCTCCGCGAATGCCAATCCGTAGATCGCCACCGAGCACACAGTTTCGTAACAGCTTGTGCACGTCACGTGGAGCTCACCATCGCGTATCTTGTTGTTAATCGAGGCAAGCAAATTTGAACAAGCGATTGAACAAGACTCTCCCCCTTCGGATCGTAAGCACGCGAAGTCCTCGACATTTGTCTTGCACTTGACGTTTAGGTGACAGGTGGAAAGTTTTATTCGTCCAGATGATCAGGATCTCGGGTTCTCTCCCCCGTGAATGTGTCCAGCTGCAATTAGCGCAGAGCGTAGTCCGTTGTTCTCTCTACCCGCAGATACTCGTGGGACCAGAACCTCAGGCACTTGGTGTTGGCGCTGATCGTGCCCATCGTGGTGTTCATCGCGACGGTCGGCATGCTGTGCTACTGGTATTGCCCGCCGATAAGCAAGACCTGCGGCGGGCCAGGCCGCAACCTGATCGACAAGTATGCTAGAAAGGAAGAGTAAGTGTATGTATGCAGTGGCCCCGTAGAGCGGCTAGCAAAGAAATTATACCATCGCACGGAATTACTTTGAGGTCGTTCTGCCTCGACGACCGCGCGCGACGCGGCGGCGGTCGAATGTCGTGTCGTGGATTATCCATCAGGAAGGAGAAGAGGAAGAGCGCACAGTCGCGGCCACGAAAATTCGCGCTTCTTGCTTCTTCGTTTTCCTCTTTGTTTCTCTCTCAACCGGAACAACCGTGTGTGATGGCTCGAGTGGTGGCTCGAGTCTCTCACTCTTGCTCTCGTTTTTCTTCGAGTCTCGTGTGATTCTCCGTTTTACTTTCGGTTATTTATATTTCCAGTACACGCACGCACTCACAACACACTTTGGACACACTTGCTCTTGATTTTTTTCGTAGGACTCTCGGTTGTCAAAGTAATTCCTCCGCTTCACGTTAAGGTTAAGGTTAAGGTAACTTCACGTTACCTCCGCGTTCTCTCTTTCTCGTTCCGTGATTCCGTGGCTTTCCGTTCTTGCAGCATCTTGGCAGAGGACGAGTTCGAGGAGGACGAAGAGGAATACTGACTGCTACCAAGGGCACACCCCCCTGCGCGGGAGTGATGCCAGAAACATTATCTCCGAATGGCTCCAGCATACTTTACCTTATAAACCTAAGCGACCGAGCATTAGCGCTTAATGGAAGTTCGAGAGCGGAGAGCCGAGCATAAACGCAGAGCATCAATATCGCCGTTTCTTCACGGGCGTTCATTCACTTGAGATTATCGCTTCACCCGCTACCTCCGACTTCTTTTGTCTTCTAAATCTGCTCCGAATCGTGCTTTCAATAAACGGAACATGCGCCTAGATTTCACGTCAGTTACGCGAGAAACTCTCTCTCTCTCTCTCTCTCTCTCTCTCTCTGTCTTTGCCTCTCTTTTTCTCAACGTTCCATCGCACCGACATTAACTGTGTGTGCATTCAATCGAAACAGAGATAACGTCGGACCTGAAATCAGGCGAAGTGAAGAGTCAGCGATCGTGTCGGAAGAATCGCGCTCGCGCGCGACTTTACGAGGAGCACACACTACGATGTAAAGTGGGCCGCGAAGATGAGAGCTCGGACTTTTCAATTATCTATCAGTATTCCGTACGCGAGTTTTTCGAAGAGGGGTGCGGCTCGAAACACGCGACGACGCCGTCGCGCCGCGAAATGTGCTGCGAATTAGCATTCGCGAGACAGAGAGGTTATTACGGTAACGACTCTCCGCGGGGTCGAGACACGACGAGATAACGGCGGACTTTCGTATGTTTCGGGCTGAACCGTGATAAAGGCGCGCCTTCCTACTACGTGATAATTTAAGCTGGATGATAGTTTGTAAAGCGGCACAGATTAGCTTTTACAGAGCAGCATCGGGGTTTAGACTAAGTTACACGGCCGCGAATTTACGACTTAAGTCACGTAAGCTGCCCCTTCGGCGATCAATGTCGAAACGCGACGGAAGCAGCGCGAGCTTTCGCGAGGGTCGCGGGGCGAGTCGGCTTCACCCCGTCGAGCTCCGTTAGAAACGAAGAAATGGATTCCAATGCGGACTCGTGTCGGGCTAACCATGTTACTCGCTGCACCAGCGAACGCCTTTGCGGTCTTGTCGAAATTCCTATTATTCTAGCCTCATTTCTTCACTCTTCGTTTCGATTCGTTGTTACAAGTCGTTCAATCGCCACCCTTCCAAGTAGATCAAGCTACCGCGCGCGACTTTTGCATTTTCAGTCTCTCGAAGTTGGACACGAGGACTCTCGTGAGAGTCGCGGCGGCAAACTTTTGTTCGATATATCCGCCTCCTTTTCTCCCGCTGACGCGCGAATAATGGTTCATCAACGGGAACTCGCGAGAAACTTCACTTCGGCGGGGAGTGTCCCCGGCGAAGGAAGGAAAGAGTGAAGCGAGTGTGACGTGGTTCGCTTTCGAAATCCGCTTCCGCACCAAGAAACGTAGGGTTAAGGCTAGGCGGTAAGTTAAGCCTGTGAATATTACATACCGATCGTAATTCTATCGAAGTCGACATATAAGAGTTATTTACGAATTTTGTACGCGGACGCGAGTCACGTCGTGGAGAGAGAGATTTTAATTATACAGAGAATATATATTATATATATATATATATATATATGAAATTTAGGAATACATATAGACTATATATCACTATATGAAACGCACGTGAACGCTGACATGCGCATTGTGCGCATAGTTTATATAGCCATAGCTGTAACGATACTCCTAAGTTGGTTCTTTACGGGGACGCGCGAACTGCGTTCCGTAAGCTACGAAACGACGTCGTCCACTACAACTCGTACGCTCGCAAATCGCTCAGCAATAAATATTATTATTCCGTCAGTGAAACGTAATCGCCAGAGGGAAGCTAAAAATCAATTAACGCACGTACCGCAGGCAAGAACCTCATTGATCGTTGCCCGAGGCGCGTTCGCAGCGCCGAAGGCTCATCGAACGACGTTCGAGTCGCGCGTATTCAGCCGTTTCCGGACGTTCGGTGAATTAAGAAGAAAGAGGAAAGAAACGAGGATGTTGGCGTCCACTTCGCTTACAGTCGTTTCTCATCCGCCGGTGTCGTAATTTTTGCCGCGCTCCCTCGGCTCGGCCGGGGCCGCCATTGTTGTACGAAAGTAACGTCGCACTGACGTTTGTTTCGAAGCGTATGGAAACCATGTCGTAACCCTCTACATCTAGTATGGTTGTGAATCCTTACTCGGCCTTACTCGCGAGGTGTCCCGGAACGTTGGGGGCGCGCTTCCAACGGGACCCTGCGGGACCTTGGCACTCATTCCCCACTCGAAGCTTGCTAGTCTAATTTCCGTGGAAAAGAACTATCGATCTCGTCGCGATCGTCTACGAGTCGCTGATGCCCATCGATTTCATATTTCCCCAGCCAACCTCGTCGCTCAGTCCAGGTCGATCCGTCGCTCTTCACATTGGAATGCGAGTTAGATGATAGATTCGACAGCGCGCCCGCGTCGATGCGCGACGCTCGAGGGGCAAATCAAAATTAGCAATCGCGTAACTGTCGACGAACAGAATTAGCTTTGAGAGACTCGCGAGACGCCGCCCGCGCCGGGGCGTCGTGATGTAAATCGAGAGATTCCCGATCTGCCTCCTTCTCGCACGCACCTTTTTCGCGAGAACTTTTGCTCAAGACGCTCACAATCGACGAAATCGACGGCGCCGATCAAACCCACGTGTGCGCGCGTGTGTGTACGTAGGTGTGCATGTGTGCGTGTGTGCGTGCGTACCGCTTGCCGCGCTTTTCCACGCCGCGGGAGAGCCGCGGGAACTTTTCCGGCTTAGACCGATTAGACAGTTGTTGTAGCGTGTGATCTCGTGTGATATGACGCAACGACGATGTGTAGAGGCAAAAATGCGAAAACGAGGAGAGGTTCTCGAGCGAGGCACGCACCGGGCAAGCTCCGAACGCGGACAATCCAAAAATTGTTGATAACTAACGCGCGTCTAAGGCACAATACTCACATCGTATCGGTTTTTTTTAGGTGCCAATTGAATTCGTCAGCCCGACTAGCCGGTTGTCGCAGTCGTCGTAGGCAGCATTCGATCGCGAGAGAGAAGATGTTTGTATAATTATATATATTATAGAACGGGGATCTCAAGCAGAGAGAGAGAGAGAGAGAGAGAGAGAGAGAGAGAGAGAGAGAGAGAGAGAGAGAGAGAAAGAGAGAGCTAGACAGATGATCCCTTCCCTTGGCTTTTCTCGCGTTGCTTGTCGCGGAAAGCGGAAGCGAGGCCGCTTCGAGCCCGGAAATCGGCGTCCGATCACGACAGCGACGGGACGGAAAGACGACTCGCCGTGTGCGAGAGAGAGAGAGAGAGAGAGAGAGAGCTGCTTGAGATCCTTCCTTAGATAGACGAACAAATTCTAGTCCCGATTTAGTTATACGACACACACGAGTGGTGTAGAGAGCGAACAATCCGAGGCGGTCGCAGCAATCGGGTGACTTTGGTCGAGCACGAATCGCTGGTTAATCGAAATGTCGCGGAATCCGTTTCCACGCACGACGTAGCTATCTATTGTAATATATTACACACTCGATATCGGAAAGCAACGACGGGGCCGGTCTCGGGCGTTACTTACTTCCCGTCATCGCCCCATCGGCCCATCTCGACCCGACGACAGCGGACTTTACGCGAACTTTTAAATAACTTAACTTTACATATTGTACACTGCATCTCGCAATGATATTTGCCTGTTATTGTAATAGTATTCGCACTTACTTCCGTACTCAGCCGGACGTTTGTCATGCCGACATCATTTCTCTCTCTCTCTCTCTCTCTCTCTCTCTCTCTCTCTCTCTCTCTCTCTCTCTCTCTCTGTTTCTATCTCTCTCTCTCTCTCTGTCTCTCTCTCTCTCTCTCTCTCTCTCTCTGTCTCTTTTTCTCTTTCTCGTCTTTTCCTAATATGTAACATTTACGATTAACAATATAAACGAGCAACGTATTCTTCTTCGAGATGCTTCCTTTCTCTCTACCCGAAAGTTTCCAGTCTCACGGCGACGGGCGCGAGTCGTCCGCTGTCTCGTACATACTCGATCTCATTAAATATTGTACATAATATATACATATTATACATATACATATATATATAAACCCGCGACACAGACGGACTATTGTAAATAAGAGAGAGATTGTACGATTTCATTTGAAATATATAAAAAGTACGTTTTCTGTTAAAAACACAGCACTTACGTCATTCTTCCCGATCACCGCCGTTCACACTCGGCACTCCCTCCCCGCCCCCCTCTCACTCTCTCTCTCTCTCTCTCTCTCACCTGCTTGGTTTCGCTGCAAGCAAGTTATTCTCGTCGATTGTTAATGTATTCAAATTTAAAATGCCCGCAAAGAAACGCGGAGAATGTGCGCGCGCGTCTCGGTAGTTTTCACGCTGTTCTGCTTGGCGCAAAAAAGGAGTCACGTCGCGGTATCGCCGAAGAGATTAAAACAGAAATCCCTCGAAGCGACTCGCAGCCGCGCGGCATCCTCGCGCTCCCATTGTACAAACTCTACATAGCACTAAACAAAGACGTTTGACCTTTCGCGCCGAAGGTCGCGGAAAATGTTAATGCAACCGGACTAACGCTCCGCCCTACTGGGCTGATATCGAGGGGATGAATCTAAATCGATAAAGCGGCCCGCGACTGACTCTGTCTCTCATGGAGCACCGCATTCATAATTTATAATGTATGATGAATAGTTTCACGCTTTTCATAACGTAAGGTCTCGCTTACGCGCGCCACGTCGCCCGGCACATCCACCGATGCAATTACAACGCGGAGCGCCGAACAATTCGAGCGAAAATTGTTACATCTCTTCTGAATATCGCGCGATAACGCAATAGGCGGAAACGGGGGTAGTTTCTTGTCGCGTCGAAGGCAGAAACTCGCGCGACTTGTTGGTGAGTTCTCTAGATCATATTTCGAGCGACTTGTCAGAGCTTGCTGTGAAGGCAAACGGAGGTTTTAAAAATAATACCTCGTAAACTATTTTCCTCCTCAGGTTAATATTTTCAAACGGCATGCTGAGTCGGCGTCACTTCGTCGCTCCGACGTTATCCATCGGGAATGTTTCCCTTTCTTACATACAAAATCGTCAAACGCCGCGAGTCACGCGATTTTGTCATTTGCTCGTTAGTGTTGCTTTGTTCTCTGTATCTCCTCCCTTATTATTTCCTTTATTCTCATTGTTTCTTTTCCTTATTCCTTATTGTTATCTAGTATTCTTGCAAGGGGATCGGAAGTGATTTTTATTCACCCCTGAAGAAATAAATAAGTAGACGAGATAATTCTTCTCGCTACAGTGGAGAATGCAAACACCGAAAAAAAAAGTATTCTATTTGCAAAGTAATTTTTTCCATAGTTTCATATTCTGAGCGATGCCTTTTACGGAAAAAGAATTCCTCTTTCGACAAAGCGATCAAAGTGAACACATTTAAAATTTAGATATTCTAACTTTTCCTCTTATTTCAAGAGGATTTCCTCTTATATCAATTAACTTTCTTATATGAAGAGGAATATTGTTGATTTGAATGTAGGCTTCTCTTGTTCAGTCATGCTCTACCTCCAGACATGAACGAGAAAATAACCATATCTACTCACGGGGTTAGAATATTTGGGACGCTTTTTAAAAAAGGTACGTATGTTACTGTAACATATAACGAAGACAATTTACCTATATTTGATCAAATATAGTTTATAATCTATTGCAGGAAGTTGAATAATATATTTTTTCTTTTAACTATGGTTTCATACAATTAGCTATGACGAACATCTTTGTAGCTATACAGTCCGCAATAAAACTGATTGGAATTTGAAATGATGATCTTATTTCATTCGTGCCTACTTATTGTAGAACCGGAGCCAGAAGTACATCTATATAAATAAATACTCCTATTACTTTTCGCTATACATTATAATTTTTCCAAATTAACCAGTATAACCAGTATAACCAGTAAGAATAAGGTAAAGTAAGAATAAATAATAATCCTTTTAAAAAAAGATTAAATAATCTGTGTATAAGAGGAAATTTATATTAAAATTACTAAAATTTGCATTATACATACAACATATAATCCATCTAACTTTCAGAATAATGTGTTTATAATATTTTCCTCTTAATTTTAGAGGAATTCTCTCGAAACCATATATAAGAAGAAAATGCTCTAAAATTTTGATGACTCCGCTTTTGTTCTAAAATTACTTTTTTTGGGGTAAAAGGAAATATCGGGAAAACGGGGAGAAAAAGACGAATTTCAATTTTCGAAGCGCTGCTGGCCGCGCTTCGCGCGCGCGTATTCTGCACGCTCGCATTCCAGAAGTTTCGCGATACACCCTCGGTACGCACAGGGACCCGACGAGAAACCTCCGGGTCGACGCTTCGTTCAGGCTCATTTCACCACGAGAGCCAGTCCCACCCCCATGAGGAGAGTGCGTAGATAGCACGGCGCACACTCCGTGCGGGAGGACTCGCGCGACTTCGCAGCCACGACAGGCAGGCTTGTTTTCAAACAGTCGTCGGGGTTGGTTAGTTGCACGGTCACCTCGCGTGTGTTTGCGCGCGACCGCGGCTCTCCTCCTCGTGATGAAAAGATCGTGACGCGGCGACCAGCCTGCGGACCGCGGACGGAAAGGATCGTGAGGCTGTGAGGCTCAGCGTCGATGATCCATCGAGGATCGAGGAGAAGGCGGCCACAACTCGCGAGCGCTCGATCGGACCAAATGACACCGTGATTATCCGCGACTGAGCGTCGCCACAATTAGAGTGCGGTGACAAAGTGTCAATTTCCGCGGGAGGGGGAGCAGTGACGTGGATGCGATGGGGAAAACGGACATCGCGACGTTCTCGATTTGCGGAGAGAGCACCGGCGAGGCGGTCTCTCGAGTTCTCGTCTGAACGACCCGGAAGACCCGTCGCCAGCACTGAAATCGCGGCACCGAGGCTCTCTCGAAGGCAGATTTCCTGGAAACTCTGCTGGATCGAGACGCAAACGCGAGTGCTTCGTGCTTGCGCTCTTACGGATAATGGTAAAATAAAAAAGAAATCGTCGAGCTTCTGCGAAGACGTTGCTATCGTCGTTTGCGGCGGAGCGCTGCGGATACGATCGATTTCAATCGTCGATATTCATCACTCGCTGAGCGAACGCGTCAAGATACACTCTCCGTCCCGAAGAACGCGGCGAAGCATCGTACGACTGGCGCAGCTCGAAGCCGAGCTCGAAGGGAAAGCCCCTTTAATTTTATCAGCCAGCCGCTAATCCGCACCGATAGCGAGCGGCCGCGTTTCGAATATCGGCCGCGACGGAGCGGCGTCGCGGACGATCGTAGATCTCGCGCGGGATTCGCGCGAGTAATTCCCGACAGTTCTTCCCGAAGTCCCCCAAGTTGCCTCAGGCATGCACGCGTTTTCCGCCGCAGCTGAGAGTCATCGCTTTTCCCGCCGCCGATAGCACGTTCGGCAAACAAGGCGGGAGGAGAGCGCGATCAATTTCGCGAAGAGAGGTGGACGAAGCTCGCGGCGAACGAGAGGGACTACGCCGTCGGCTACTTATCGTCTTTAAGAACGATGGACACAGCTAAGTAGCATGTTCATGGAAGAACAACGTTCCGAGAATCCCGCGAATCCCAGAGGCGTTATCGGCAAGATAATCGCTCGAGCCAAGGTTGCTCGCAAGTGGAACAACCATTAGAGACGTCATCATACTATCGTGGGTGTCCTCCAGAAAAGCGCCTCTCCGTCTCGCTCTCTCTCTCTCTCTCTCTCTTTCTCTCTCCCTCTCCTTCTCTCTCTCTTTCTTTCTCGGGCAGATCGATTTTCTCTCTATGGAATAACTCAGCGGCGTATACGCCACTTCCACTTTCGCACATAAATAATAACGGTGACGGTCGCGGCGAGCACGCGGCGGGAAACTCAGTTGCATAATAAGCCCGTTTGCCCGCGGAAGGATCCTCCGAGGGGGATTTCGAGCGCGAGCGCGGACACACATCGGCCGGTGGTTTTCGAGGGCGCGGGTGAAAAATCACGTCATTGTCCCGACGCAAATCCGCGATATGTCAGCGACGATGTAAAGAACACGGGGTGGATGAAATTTTAACGATGTCACTTCCGCGGTGACGGTAGCACAGAAATACGGGGATCGATACCGCCTCTCTCTCTCTCTCTCTCCCTCGCTACTTTTTTTCAAACTGTCGTTAAACGGCCGCTCGGCGTTGCCCCGGCGTTAATGGAATTACCGACATCTAATTCCACGCTGCTCTATGTAGAGCACCTGCGCGCGACTACGAGTCTAATGGCGTTAACGCGCGGTAATTGGCCCAAGTGCATCGGGCAGATGCGCGTCTAGGCGAAAGAAGACCAAAGGAGGCTCCCTGCGCCACGCGCAAACACAGAAAGGGTCCTCTTCGCTATTACGACGGTTTATCGACGAACGGCGGCCGACCGCCGCCGCCACCGTCGCCGCCGCCGCCGTCGCCGCCGCCGCCGCCGCCGCGAGGATGAATCGTAAAGTGAGTCACCGTGAGTGATTGAAAAAGAAGAAGAGCAGAGTGACAGGGGAATTGGAGGCGGGAACCCGCAATTCCACAGATCCGCGGAGTCACGCGTCGTCCAGCGAAGCGCGCGAGGCCGATGAATCACTCGGATCCTGCGGCGAATCCTTCGGTGCCGGGGACTCTCGGTCGGCCAACGAAATTCATTGACTCGCAATTAGAGGAGGAGGAAGAGGAGGAAGAAGAAGAAGAAGAAGAAGAAGAAGAAGAAAAATTAACGTTATCGTTAACGGGGGAAAAGTCGCAGGCAGGATTTCACACACACGCATCCCGGTGGAGTAAATCAATCAGAAATGTTCTCTCCTTCTCTCGCCCTCTACAATTGACAACTGACTGGCATCTCGTTCGCAGCCGCGAACCGAGGACTTCCGAGTTTCCGAGGACGAAGCAATAAACTCGACGCCCGAGAGGGATCATCTCGCGCGCGTTCGCCGCTCGACGAAACGGCCTGACGATCGTGCGTCACGACGCGTGTTCGTGCTCGTAAGAGGTCGATAGCTATAGCGAGTCCATTTGATCGATGAGCCTCGCGACACACATATACACGCACTTCATCGGCGCGGACTCGCTGAACTTTTACTTTGCCGACGGAAGTGGCGCGCACGGCTGGCCGCGAGAACCGACATCTGAGATATCTATCTCGCGGCTCATATTTTTGGATCGCGCGCGCGCGGGGGTGATATTTGACGGAGAGGCGTTGCCTCTCTCGCGAATACCGAAATGGAGCTGTCGCGAGCGATCGCTCATTATTAGTGCCGAACGAGCGCGCGGTACGTTGATCCGCCGCCATTTGCTCCGGCGCTTCCTCTCGCCTCGTGGCGGGACGGTGTGATTGAAGCTTTACGTCAAGTTCGCTGCAGCCGCTCCACCCCGCGAAAGTGATGAAACCCCGACATGAGGCCGGCCGTCTCTTATTATGCCGCGTGCTCCGGCGGAATGCGGTCTTAATAACGCGCGACGTTATTTCTATTACGTTCCCCGGAGAATCACGAGACAGCAGAGGGTCAATTCAGGTGGAGATGTTTCGATTGAGAGAGTAGAAAGGCGCTCGTGAAAGTTGAAGCAAGTTACAAGGTCGCTCGACACGGGGGCTCGTGTCTCTTGAAATTTATACGCCCGGGGTCGCTCCTCCCTGAAGTTTACGGCTGCTTTGGGATTAAAACTCGCGCAAGTTGAAGCCGCCATCTGAGGGAAGAGTTGAAGAAGAAGAAGTCGAAGAAGAAGGAGGAGGAGGAGGAGGAGGAAGAGAAGAGGAAGAAGAAGAAAAAGCGGGCTCTGGGATCGAGAAGGACAGATCGCACAGTGTCACGCGATGGGCCGAAGACAAAGGCGCCGTAAGGTACCGAAACAGGATCGCAGAATTTGTGCGTGTATATTCCTCTGCCAGTTCACCCTTGTCATCAGTTCCGTGGCCTTGATTTACCTCAGCGTGGCAATCTACACTCCGTCGCACAGGTAAGGTAACAGCCGTACCCGAGTAGAAAAATTAATAGGGCTATGATTATTTTTCTCTAACATTAATCAGGCCCTAGTAGGGATAGAGAGACAAGGACCCTACAAGATGTGTAACAAATGGTTTAACGGGTCCTTATAAGGCAATGTTACGAGGGTCTTATAAGGCAGTATCAACAGAATCTTATGAGGCAATATTAATAGAGCTTTATAAGGAAATATTTTTATTATTGCTTGAATAAAAATATTCGTTCTTTTCATCCCGAGAAATTTAGACTGTAATTTCTTTATTTCTTTATAACCTTGTTAGTATACAACAAGAATCTTTTTAAAAATATAGCATACTTTACAATAGAATATAGCATTCTTTACACATAAAAATTCTGCTACTGTTTTTATTAAAGTTTGCTGCATATCAAAACGAAGGTAATACTAGAAAAATCCTTGGAAGAGACTAATGAATATGGCAACTAATAAAACTAATAAAATTTGTTTTTAGTTGCGGTATAATTAAAAAATCTTTAAAAGAACCAGATGAAACGTATTTACTAAAATAATACTAAATTACGACAATTTTATTACACATTTCAGATTTTATTAATTTTCTACACAAACTCGATTTTGTATATTTAAAGCATCCTTAAAAGATCCTTAAAAGATCCTTTTAAGGCCCACATCAGTTTTTCATATTAAAGCGTTATTTCGTAAAATCTAAGGCATCCCTAAACAATCCTTCTAAGGCCCTTCTCAACTTTCCCTATGAAAGCCTTATTTATTAAATCTAAAGCATCCCTAAACTATTCACCTCGGGGCCTGATGTGGTAATAATGAGACATCCTTTTCTAGGGCATCCTATTTTCAGTCTTATCGGGGCTTTATATTTCACGAGGATGGCTCTAACAATTTTTCGCTCGGGTAGCGCGTTGAATTTCACGATCTATCAGCGGTCAATTTTTTCCTTCCACCTCGGGCCGCGAAATGCATTTTTCCGCGGGAACCTCGTGTTCTTATCGAAAACAATTAAAAAATTAAAAAAACAATCATCCAATAAGAGAGAACGAAAAAGGTTACAAAGAAAGTCAAAGAACGCGCAAGAGAGCGTGAAAACAAAACTGAAGAGACCGTCCAGACGCCGAGCTGAAACCGGACGTATCGCTCGAAGACGGACTTCAAGAGAGAAAGAAAAATCGAAGCGCTCGCCGTTTGGTCACTCGAGCTGACGAGTGCTTGTTGTAATTATGCCGGGTCGGACTAATTCCAGAGCTTTCCACGCCGGCATCGAACCGGAACCGGTGATGTGCCAAACCGTAAACTCCACGATGGTGAACAATTGCGGCTGGGCGAGCTGCGGCGAGTGGTGCTTGACCAAGACCAGCGGCCTGTGCAACCAGATTCACGCGACCGTCCGACGTAACGGCACCGACGTGCTTTTCGAGAATTGCACCAAGTTCAACACGATCGCGTGCCCTCAGGTGCGTACGCTGACCACTTCGTCGCGCGCAAAGTCCTTTCCTCCCCTTTCCACCCCGCGGTGGAACGCGATGCAACGTAAAGATGAAACGCAAATTGCAAGAATGCGCACACACATACATACACACGAGGAGGAGGGAGAGGGAGGGGAGGGAGGGAGGGAGGGGGTCCTCGCGCACGGAGATAAAAGCCGGGAGGTTCCTGAGAAACCTTCCTCGAAGGCAAAACTTTTGATTGCAGTTTCAATTAAAGCCACGCGGCTTAATTCAGCCGACTTCCACGCGCATGCATCGGAAACATTTGCCGCGCGAAAGCTTCCCCACCCTCTTCATTAAATCCCGGGACATCGCTCGAAGTACTCTCGCAATACACGAGACGCGCAATCGTGCAATGTAGGAAGGAACTCTCAAGCAAATTTCCCCCGCCGGACGATAATGAATTCTGTCTGTATATTTAGTGGTTCAATTGTAGTCTCTGGAAGTTGTTTTTCCACTTGGTCAAGAAAATTCCTCTCTCTCTCTCTCCATCCACTACTTTTTTCAGAAAGGGTGAACGCACGCCCTCGCACATTTGCTCTTCGGGTCGCCATCATTTTATTTCACGCCACATCTCGAACCAACTGCGGTCGTAAGCTCAGTGTACACACGAGTACTCTCTCTCTCTCTCTCTCTCTCTCTCTCTCTCTGCGGGTTTCCATCTCGTGGAGATATTACAATTTTATCGGAAGGCAGCGTAGACTCCAATTTCTCCTCCGTGCCGCCGACCTCGATACGCGGAGGAGATTGCGCGTAAAAATTTAAATTGCCGCTCACAAAGCGTCCCGTCAAACGTAAGTACGGCTGCTGTATTATTAGAAATTGCTTTGTTATTAAAAAAATTCCTCGAGTTCGGCATCGCGCGCGAAAAACGGCGGCTCGGGACTACCTCTTTGACGAGGATCAATTCCTTGTTCTTTAACCTTACGTTCTCTCGCACGGTAGCGTTTACTCCACCCTCGATGCATCATTAAAGTGCAACGTCGACATTATATCGGTCAGCTCGATGACATTGTGAGAGAAAGTTGGAATGTATAAAGTAACTGTTTTGCAATACCAAGTGCTCTCAAAGCAGACATTACCCGAGCGTTCTTGTACGTCCGCACAGCTGAGACGAAAATAAAAACGCACGTTACACATGGCAGAGTGGCTCATCGTAAACCGCCGTGTGCGAAAGCAGTCTTGTTCATGTTCTTCTTTTATAATAAAACGGCAGAAAATGGCGTTTTTCTGCCTTCCACCTTGCCCTTGAATTTCTACCCTCCGTCTCTCGTATTCTCGTCTTCTCTTATACGTAACGGTCTATCAACCAAGGAACATTGATTATGGTCAACACGATGCTTTCAGCCTTCGACGGAGAGAGAGAGAGAGAGAGAGAGGGAGGGAGGCTGAGAAAGGTAGAAGGAAGTGGGGGAGAAGAAACTCCCTACGGCGATATCGAACGTGGAGGAAACTCGCTCGTAAAACGCATTGCGTATACGTATGTGCATCCACGTGCGCCGTGTCGTAACGTCACTCGCGGCAGCGGAGCCTCGTCAAAAGGGCTCTCCCGTTAGAGCGCGACTTGCGCAAACGGTATTACCTACTTTCGCTGCTGTTAAATGTAATTACTTAGCGAATTCGATCCGCTAGGCGCGCTGTTAAAAGCAGCCGGAGCGGGAGCGGCGGCCGACGTGGCGCGGAATTTTCGCCATCGTCGTCGTCGTCGTCGTCGTCGTCGTCGTCGTCGTTGTCGTAACGGTGATATGTTGTCACGAACAAGCAGTCGGCTTTGTCAACAAAGTTGCCAGTAGGGAGATTCACTCGCGGCATGCCACGAGGTCTGACGAGAAATTCAGTCACGTCGCAATTGCGAGACACGCGCCCGAATATACGCACCCAAAGAAAGGTATTCCATTTGTAAAGTGATTTTTCTCATAATCTCATATTCTAAACGAAGCCTTTTACAGAAAAAGGATTCCTCTTGCGACGAAGCGATTAAAGCGAACCGTTCGTCTAAAATTTACTAGATATTATTCTGTTTTTTTTCTTATTTCAAGAGGATTTCCTCTTGTACCAATTAATTTTCCTTTTGTGTGAAGAGGAACATGTTGATTTATATGTCGGCTTTTTTTGGAAAAAAAGAAAAATACGAAAAAACATCATAGAAAAAAGAACGAAAAAATAACCACATGCTCATGGGTCAGAACATTTGGAAGGCTTTTTAGAAGAAATATGTGTGTTGCTGTAACATATAACGAAGACAATTTATCTATATTTGAATATAGTTTATAATTTATTGCAAGAAGTTGAATAATATATTTTTTCTTTTAACTATGTTTCACACAATTGGTTATGATGAACATCTTTGTAGCTGTATAAAGTCCACAATAAAACTGATTGAAATTTATTATGATGATCTTATTTCATTCGTGCCTACTTATTGTAGAACCGGAGCCAGAAGTACATCTATATAAATAAATATTACTTTTCGCTATACATTATAATTTTTCCAAATTAACCAGTATAACCGGTAAGAATAAGGTAAAGTAAGAATAAATAATAATCCTTTTAAAAAGAGATTAAATAATCTGTGTATAAGAGGAAATTTATATTAAAATTAATAAAATTTGCATTATACATACAACATATAATCCCTCTAACTTTCAGAATAATGTGTTTATAATATTTTCCTCTTAATCTTAGAGGAGTCCTCTTGTGGCCATATATAAAAATAAAATCCTCTAAAATTCCGATGATTCCCGCTTGTTCTGAAATTACTTTTTTTTTGGGTGCGTGAACTTGGGTTGGTCTTCTTTCTTTTGCAAAACTCGATCGCGCGAGAACGTGATGGCATCTTACAATCCGCCACAGGTGTTAAACGTGGACGACAAAATCGTCGACGGGGTGTACATTTGCGCTCAAACTCGCGGCTTGGAATGCGCGTCGCCATTCGTTTCCGCCGAGGCGTTCCTATCATTCGACATATTCGACCCAGAAAAAGTTTGTCGGCGCGAGCATCTGAAAAGAGTTATCGCCAAAGGCAACGGCTGGGAATGGCCGGTATTCGTGATCCTAATCTAACGCGAACATACGGGCCGGCAACATACGGGCTATTCTCGAGGGAGTGTCCCGCGGACGTATGAATATTTAGACACATGGCGTCACCCTGCGCGCCCAGTCGCTGATGCCGTCGTCGACGAGAGACCGAAACTTCCCGAAAGCAGTTGTTTAATTAATGATGTTGACGGAACGAAGAGTTGATTGAACGGGGTTGATCTGTGTGGCCGGAGGGGGGGGGGGAGGGCCCTTTCGGCGGCATCGATAATGTCGTGCAGGCTTCTAGAAACGGCAAGGGGGTAATTTTCCTAATTACACAGCGCGGTATCTTCGTGTAGAATGTTCCTCGAACTCTTCTATCAAAACGGTAATTTCACCCCGGAATTACGCGCACATATAGAGTACAGGAGCGGAAAAAGAATAATGAATACTAATTAACCTTCCCGCGGCAATTGCACGGCCGAAGGACAGAGTCAACGAGCTACGTGAAAAAGGATATTATATAACTAAAAAAATAAAAAAGTCCGGACTAATTGAGTGTCATAATATCGTAGGAGAATGTCGGTCGCCCCCGGTTCGACCGCTAATTAAATTAATAAATTTACGTCGCTCCGCGCGGGAGAGCGAAAGGTTACCGTCTCGATACGCGTGACTAATGAAAAATTAAAAAGAAAGAGAAAAAACGCCGCAACGAGATCCGCGTTTCGGGGTCGCGTTTCCAGCTGGCGCGGTGGCTTTGATGTCGCGCGGCTCGCATCGACCTGCGCGAGTTTTCCACTCGATTAAGAGCGTGAAGGGGCGAACTCAAAGCGGCGAACGCATCGGCAGGTGGACATGGGCAGGATGAAGAAGTACAACTGCAACAACGGCAGCGAGTGCGGCATGTTGTCGGGCGTGTTCAACTGCAACCTTGGCCACTGCGCCAACATGAGCGAGCTGATGCTCTGCCACCACAAGGCCGACGGCATCATCGTCGACAGCGAGAAGGACAACATGAAGCTGAACGGCTACTTCAGCTGCCAGAACTCCCGATGCACGAAGATCAAGAGCGCCTTCAGCTGCGACCGGTACTGCCCGAGTATCAACACCAGCTGGATCAACGTGTACCTCATGCAGGACGACAACGTCATCTCCGCCAGGTGCTCCCGCGGGATGGCCTGGAACAGGGCGAACGGCAGCTTGCCTGGCACCAGGCTTGACGAACCCGTCAGGATCTGGAGCGACCAGAACGGCAGCATCATCGCGAGCTGTTACACCGTCAAGCTCGATGGCGACGTCATCAGGTAATAACGAATGGTAATACAGTAGGATTTCGTTTCGTCAAATTCCACCCTCCTCTCTCTCCCACCCGTTGGTCGCGAGCCGAGTTTATCGGACAACTGCGTTGTGCCAGAAATAGTCGTATTTGAGCGAAGAGACTACGTATGGTCAAGTGAATATTTTATTTGCGTTATTGCATCAATTTACGATGATCAATATCGTTTATACAATTAGACTTAGTAAATAATCGCAGACGATATGAACAACTTCTGTGCCAATTTTTCGAACACCACGTACGTTGAGAAAATGGAAGAAACTAAGGCACTCGAGACTTGCAATTCGATTCAGTTTAGTTCAACGTGAGCGTGGGCGCGTTTAGTACTGCTTAAAATGCGGGTTACATTCGACGTCAATCGATCAAACAAATTGGCGATCAAACGTCTCTATTTCGGCCGTGTGTCAATGGTGACTTTATGGTCATGTATAAATAATGTCGTTGCTTTAAACGACGACGTAAAAGCGAGCCGCGATCGCGGTTCGCCAGGTCGTCGTAATCATGCGCCGCACGATTCAGATCCGACGACGAAATAAATAAATAGAAGAGGGATGCGAGAGCGGCGAAACACGTCGTATCGTTCGCCACAGACACGGCCGTGCGCGTTGAATTTTCCAGAAGCTTTATCGTCGCTATTAACGAAAGATTCCCCGCTGAATACGTCGCTCGACGCGCGTCTCTAGAATCTTCCGAGCTGCCGCACAGTGAGGCCAGACGACATTTTTTGGTTGAAAATTCTCTAGAGACCTCAATCTCCAACCGATCATCGACACCAATGGATGAGGTTGACCCTGAATAAATTCCAAAGAGATCTATCTAGCCGAAATTTTGAAAAAATTATCGCTTCAGAGTTCATGGGTTTGGGGTTTGTCTGAAAAGTTTATCGTTTAAAGTACAGTGTCTTGGGTTCGACCTCAATGGGTTCGAGCCTATGGATACTAAATACGAGACCCCAGAACTTATAATCACCTTTTAGAAAACTCAGAATTTCAAAGGTCATCATTTCAGTCCACATTAAGAAAGAATTAAGCCAATTATGGATCCAATAAGTAAAAACATGGAGAACATTGAACAAAACATCCAACCCTAACCTGATGGTCCATGAGCCCAAAGCTTATAAACCTCAGTTCATAAGCCATCATACGGAGATAGAAAGTAATCACCGTCGATATTAGCATGACCCCAATATGCACCGCTATTAGATAGAAATAAGTGTCGAATAATAAGTGTTTCACAAGTTTCTCGCGTTTAATGATAAATTTTCCTCTTTTGGGGCTAGTAATTGGAAACAAACATTTTTTTTTAATTTTGGCAAGACAGATCTCTTCGGAATTTATTCAGGATCAACTTCAACCATTGGTGTCAATGATCGGTTGGAAATTCAGGTCTCTAGAGAATTTTGAACCAAAGGATGTCATCTGGCCCCTGTGTGCCGGGGGCGTCTTCAGCGTAAGTGGGCAATGAGAGCAGACTCAACGGGGCGCGAGAATCGAATCTTTGGATTGAATTGCCGTTGATAGAGCGGGGAATTCGTCGAATAATTGAAGGGAGAAAGGCACTTTGGCTCCTTCCATCAGAAAGATTCATAGTGTATCGGTATAGGTATTGATCAATCAGCGAAACCTGCGGGACCCCGGAATTGCTCGCTCGTGTCGAGAGCGAAGATCACCCGGTAAATTCTGCTAGTTACTCTCTCTCTCTCTCTCTCTCTCTCTCCCCCCCTCTTTTATTTCATGTTATCGTGTACAGTTCGACGTCTAATCGTTTGCAAAAAATTATATATCGGGCGAGTGCAAAAGTTTTGATGAATCTCGTGATGCAGAAAAATGGGGCGAGGCAATTTTATTGGAAACGATTTGTTCATTATTTTATTGGAAACGATTTGTTCGAATAATGCGCCATCGCTTTCCATTATCTGACGGTATACTCGCGATACTGTTGACAGAAACCTGTCAAGACTTTCTCGCCCGTCCAGGCGATATTGCATCATTCTGACAAGTAAACCTACCCAAGTGTCCCATTCCGATTTTGATGAAATTTTGCATGCGTATAGAGCATCGAAAAATATTAGATACGTATTTTTTTATATTGGTCCATAAAGCGTTTTAAGGGTAGAAATTACTATTAAAATGTCAATTTTTTCGCTTTCTTGTCCTGTACATAAATACTCATTGTCAAGAAATGTTTGAGAAAATAATGTTTCCACAGGAACACATCACACTTGTTTTCATGTTACCAAATCCGAATTCACGAGAAAATTTGAGACTTTCAAAATGGCGGATTCAATATGGCGAGATATCGTAAGTTAAATATTGAAAAAGTTATCAAGTTTTCCTCAAATATCTCAAAAGATATTAGACAAATAAAAAAGTGTGTCAGATAAAAGTTGTTCAAATTAACCAGTAGAAAACAATAGTGTAATAAAAAAATAGGGGTTCCCATTTAAAAAAACGCAAGTTGACCTTCAAATGACCTTGAAAATAGAGATCAAGGTCAAAGTCAAGGTCGTCATAAGGTAGCTCACTTAAATCCCTACAACTTTTATTCAGATCATTTTCCTTGAAACTTCAATACTGAAGAGTTATTTTGGGTGGGACATTAAAATGAGACACCCTGTACATAGGACAAGAGAGCGAGAAAATTGACATTTTAGAGGTGGTTTCTACCTTAGAAACGCTTTATGGGCCGATATAAAAAAATACGTGTCTAATATTTTTCGATGCTTTATACGCATGCAAAATTTCATCAAAATCGGAATGGGACACTTGGGTAGGTTTACTTGTAAGAAGCACGAGAGATCTCCCGGTCGCGGGTCGTTTTCGATTCCTTGCTCCGCGCTCGGAGGAATTGAAATCTTATCGATCGAGAAAAGGGTGAAGGGCTTGCGAGCGTGCGGGCGGAGCGACGGAAAGAAGACACAAATATTAGGGTGGATCGCAGAGCCAGCCGCGGGGATCAATGGTTGCTATGGAAATACCCCGCGAGATAATCCCGTAAGAAAACGTGTGTCGCGAGAAGATATCCTCGCGATATCGAGGGCTAATTATGGCTTATAGATAAAATCTCTCCGAGCGCGATATTAACTCGGACTCACGCTCGAGAGCCCCGTAATCTGTCCTCTTCCACTTGAATGTGAACCTTGAGCCTCTCGGCGGAACGAGATCGCTCAAGAATCGCTGGAGGAGCGGCTGGAAACAGCGCGATCATCATCGTGGCTTCTATTCGTTATTACATTTCCGCTCTCGCGTTATTTCCATTGCCATGAAACCCATGATGAATGAATCGTACCGATACAGAATGCAGGCGCGTTCACACGGCGGCTCGGTCGCCTCTCTGTTTGCGTTCGCAGTGCGGAGGATTGCGTGAACGGCACCTTGCTGAACGACGACATCCCGCTTCCGCAACCGTTCATTAACTTCACGAGCTTCCTGAAGGTCTACGAGGGGAGTCTGCAGCACCCGGTGGACCCTACGAACGCGTACGTCCCGGCGCAGCAGTCGCTGACGATCTACAACAGCTCGCGACTCTACATTAATCTCGAGCGCTGCGTCAACACTCTGAGGGGCGAGTGCAAGCAATTTCAGCTCACCCACGGTCGCGACGGCGACAATCAGACCGCGCAGAGCAGGTATCCCTGCTACTATAACAAGGTAAGGCGGTTTCCCGCTCAAGGGTTTGTCGAATAAGCGAGATTTCGCAAATACGGCGTCCCGAGGTTCGCTCTCGTGCGGTATTTTTCCGCCAAAGTGTCCAGGCAAAAATGAAGCGATCTTTTCTTAACCCTTTAACGCCTACCGGTAACTATAGTTACCAGAAACGCATTTAAGAATCCATCCAACTTAGTGAAAAAAGGAGGATATTTTCGTTTTCTTCGCATCACTGTAAAGGTGAATTCTTCTTCGAAAAAATGGTATATAGATTGTATGTACGAGATTCGGTTTAGTCTGTTTTTAGCTCAGTTTTAATGATAACATGTCTCGTCAAATTCCAAGTAGGCATAGTTAGCATTGTTACTGACATCTAGAAGTGCACTATAAATGAACTAGATTGGTATCTGTTATAATTTTATACATTTGGAAGCTTTCTCAGATGCAAAGTGTGAAATTGAAAGAATACAGAAATTCAAAATGGCGAATCCAATACGGTGGACACGAAAATCAAGAAATCAAGCTATTTTCTATTTGAAATCTGGTGATCTACAGTTTTTTATACGGGGAAAAATGAAGGGACGATTGACTGTCTAAATGGTGATCTATAAGATATTCTTCTGAAATAGTAGGCTTGACGCTCTGAATGATAAACTTCACTCACAAATATAGTAAAGTTTCAGCTAAAAAATGTCAAGCTGACTATCAGAGTTATGTCGTACAGATTAACCTTCATTTTTCTCCGCATAGGTTGCTCATTTCGTATATGCTTTTAGGATCCAAGTCATATTTACCAATAAACAAAAAACGAACGATAAAAAACCAAACTAACGAAACCAACAAACGAGAGGTGAAAACTTCATGTGCTCATTTATTCAGAAGTAAACGATTGATGCTGATTTCCCGTGTTTCACGGTTTTTCCATCTGGATAACGATAAAATCATTAAAACTAAAAAAAAAGAAATAAAAATAGAAAGAAGTAAAAAAAGAAATTTAACCGATCAGGCGTATTTTTCGCTTCTGAGAGTAGTTTCTGCTTGGGAAGGTAGTTTTTCGTAGATATAAAATTCTGATATTTCTTTTGGTTATCACTACTTATAGTCTCAGTTCAAAAAAACTCAAATTTTATTCTTAAGACACTTATAAAAAAATCAGGCGTTAAAGGGTTAAACGAGTTATTCCTCTCTCGAGGAACATCGATATTTTTGCACACCTTGAGCAACTCCTTGATTAGAAGTACTCTTTCACTATCGCGAGGACACCAAGTCGCGTCGGGAGGTTCAAGTCTACCGTTCTAGCTCAATCATCATTAATTGTCACTGATACTATTGCCCGAGCAGTGGCGCAAATTATTTATAATTCTAACAAGTAAATGATCAGGAGTTTTGAATAAAAAATTACAGCAAGCGTTAAGATACTGTCAATCGTAAGGAGAAAATGTATCCAGGAGTGAAAGAGTTGAACTTGAGAAAATTCACCGAGACGCTTTACGAAACAACGTCAATTCGCCGCGTGACGGTCACTCATGCGTGCGGCGCATATTGTTCAGAACAATTCGTTCTTCGTGGTGGCGCGCTTCGACCTGAGGAAGACGAAGACGGAGCTGCTGATCGCCGTGATCGTGCCGTCCGCGCTCTTCCTCATCAGCCTGGTCAGCCTGATCATCATTAGTCAGTCCGTGCGAGTGGGGGACGACACGAGGATGCGGTGCAGGTATTGCGACGGCAAGCAGGAGGTCGAGGGCGAGGACGAGGGGCTCGTGGAGGCCGCGACGTCGTCCGCCACTCAGAGTCAGACCAACGAGAACGAGGTCCGAAGTATGGCTCTTTAGCAGTACAAACCGCTCGGGATCGGCGCGCTCGGTTACGAGAGACTGCCGTTGGTCGACATGGACGACGCCGAGGACTCCTTCTAGAAGGGGACAACGATCCCTGGGCTTTCATCAAGCTGCCGTCATGACGCATGGTCATCTATCTCGCGATCCGCGCGTTTCCGGACGAACGGCTCGGAAAATGACGCGGACGAAGCGAAACGAGACGAAACAAACGGACGGCGACGCACGCCCGAGTAACGCGTCTCGGTCGAGGTCGAGGTCGAGGTCGAGGTCGAACTCGCAGACATTAGCCGTCGTCTTCCGGGGTGTGTGAGGTGCTATGCTCTTTGAACTCTTCTCTTCTCGCTTGCGATACGCCGCCGCGCTACGCGGCGAGCGGGCTCAAGCGAGAGCAATCTCTGCCAGTGAAACTCCCGTCGAAAGTAAAAGCCGCGCAGGCTCCGGGTTAGTCGCGGTTAATATTTATATCGCGAATCAGCCGAGCGCGAGTTTTCAATCGATATTTGTAAGCCGATATAATCCCACCGTTGCCTTCGATGTATCGCCAGCACGTTTGTTTGCGCGCGGGAAGAGCGGATGACACCGATCACACCGGTCGCGCATCGATCGGTCGCAGCGCGGCGCAGCGCTGACGGAGATTTCGCCGTCGGATTAACTTTAAGGGAACTTTCGTTAAGAACGTTAAGTATGTACGTAACAAGGTGTATAACAGAGCTCGCGTCTAACGCCGCCGTGACCCGATGAGAGAAAAGGAGGAGAAAATAGCGTTTGCACATCGATACATCAGGTCAAGTGTAATCTCTCTCGTAATCGTTCTTGCGCGTCGGCATACGCTTCGTGTGTGTGTGTGTGTGTGTGTGGTGTGTGCGAGTGAGACGGAGAGATCTTTAATCAACGAAAACAGAACGAGATAACGGAAATATAAAAGCGCGGAGGATCCGTTACCGGAACATTGCGGCGTATTCTCTGCATCGTATCTGCGCGAAACACAAACACACAAACACATACACACACACACACACACACACACACAAGAAAGGGAAAGAGAAAAACGAGCAAGCTTTCTTCGACGTACAAAGTAGACAGCGTAGGCCATTCAACGTTCCTTCAATATATCCGATCACCAACGAACGACATGTTTATATTTTTTCTACATCTATCCATCCAGTATCGCGCGCTGCGCAATGTGACGCTGCAAAATACGCGAGCGATATCGCGCGACTAAATGACGAGCGAGCGCGATGCGCTCGCCAGCCGGCGAGCCGGAAGCGCTCTCCCGTTTTGTAATACGCGCACTCGAACGCTACGACTGCCTATACGTAAATTAATTGTACAGTACATTGTATTTATGTGCCGAGACACGTATACTCGCGATGTAAGTTAAAGTATGTACACGACACGCTCTCTCTCTCTCAGCGAGCCGTTTATAATATTATTCGCGGTGATCGATAAAACGCGCCGCGAGCGCGATCCCCGCGCTGACGTGTTGCGCATCAGAAGCCGATTCGGCAAACACAATCTCGTCGGCGGCGAGCACTCGAAGAGCTCGCGAGATCAACGAGCGGATATTGTAACGTTAATCAAGCGGTAGCGATAATGGCCGATTCGCTGTGGAGAGATTCGCGCAATTCCGTGAAATCATCCCACGCTTTGCGTCACCCGCTGCAACACGCATTCCTATTCCTACCCGCGAGATTTGACCGAAATAAATAACTCCTTCGGAGAGAAGGGAGAAGAAACGATTGCAGAAACAGATTATTACAGAATGATCGTAATTGTATCGTAATGGAGACGTAATGAAGAAAGATTTTCTTATTTATTAGCCGTGAAAAGAGGGACGCATATATATATATTTTGTACGATATTTAGCCGAGGATTTGTGCGTAGAGATTGATGCGTATAAATACTCGCGAGGCTATTAACCCTTTAAGGACCGAGGCAAATCCATGAAAAGGGTCTGAAGTCCCAAAAATTAAAATCCATCATATTTCGCTGAAAATCTGTAGATGAGGGGTTTTAGTGATGCTGAATACGAATTTCATGTTAAATTTCTAAAATTCAAGATACGCAGATCCAATATGGCGGATCGATCACGATAATTCCCATATTTTCGAAAAGAATTAATTCACTCAAACTCCACGTTCAGGTTTTCTAAGTGCCGACTGTAAATTATTCGCAAATGGTATCCGAAAACAAGTTTGAAATATATGTAATTGCAAGGTCGCATTATATAAAGATACATGTTTCGATAAGTGCCATGAACTGTAGAAAAATAGTGGAAGAATAATTGAACAGGAGAGAAAAAAGACGGAGAAATAAGGAAGGAGATGATAAAAGACATTGAAGGATGAAAAATAACGAAAAAATCAGGAAAAATGGAAAGAAAGTGAAAATGATGAAAGAATGAAAGAAACAAAAAATTAAAAAAAGCACAAAAAAATAGAGAACAAAAAAAAACGAAAAAGTGGGATGTTAAATCCAATCGTCAACCTCCTCGAATTCACAAAATACTTGTGGGGGATGCATTCTGGGGAATACATTTTCAACAAATGTATTCGCGAATGTCAAGGGTAAGAATTTTTTGCATATATATAATCCGTCATATTAGATTCACCAATGTCAATTTCTGAATTATAATGGAACATTCATATTTAGCACTCCTGAAAATCTCTATAAAAGTAATAGCAAGATCATACATATATTCTTTCGACAAACCCACTGTGGTGTTGCCACAGTATTGACTCCGCCATATTGACTTAGCCATTCTGAATTTCGCAAACCTGATGCCAAATTCGTATTCAGCAACCCAAAAAACATAAGGTTTCCGCCAGAACTCATTTTTCTTCAGATTTTTTCAGCCTCAAGACGGTCATATGTTTCATGACAAAGATTCACGGAAAATCGGAAAGAGACCGTTTTCCGAGTGGCTATATTTCGTTTATGATGCGGAAAATGGAAAAATTGACTGCGTCATCGTGTTCATCGAACTTGAAAACATGTAGTAACACTCTTTGTCATTATTTAGAACACGCCTGGATTTCAGCATAATAAAATGTTTCATGGCAAAGATTCGCCTTTTCCCGGTCCTTCCCGGGCAAATTCCTAAATGACAAAGATTTTTGTCATCGGTGCTTAAAGGGTTAATAGGCTTTGAGAGAATAGGCGATAATAAATAAATATATAGTACCACGCAAGCGCGCGTGCGCGCAAGCACACACGACACGCAAGCCGACCAGCTAGAAACAATCGGGAAACAAGGAACAAAGACTTTTCTAACGTCACTGTACTCTATGTGCCTTCTTCCGCTTTCGATGGAGCCAATAACGTGTAACTATTAATATACTTACGAGTGCTATAACTAGAGACAGAACTTCGCAGAACATCTCCTTCACTCTTAGAAATGGCGACGTTATTTCCGTTATAAATAAAAATAGAGACGTTCCGAAATCGAAGCTCGATCTCGTGTACTTACGTTTTATACGTGAAATATCGTGAGCTACGCTCACGAGAAATCTAATCAGTATGGGATATTTGTATACAGATGCATCATTCATACACCGCTCATGAGACTTTTATTGACTCGAAATTAATTAGGCGATCGTGGCGAGCGTGACTGAAGCAATCAATGAAAGCTTCTCAAGACAAACTTTGGAAGTCATAAAGGTGCATCCTGATCTAATATTTTCAAAAAAATGGTCACGTAAGAAACTTCGACTTTTTGGAAATTTTTAGATCCTTCCCCTCCCCCCTTAATGATTACGAGGGAACAATATAGCGATCAGTCGTTGACGGACGAGCATGCGAATACATGACGAGCGATTGTGTATATGATCGATTAATTCCGCATCATGGATGAAAAGGGAGAGAGAGAGAGAGAGAGAGAGAGAGAAAGCGAAGGGAAAAAAGAGAGGTGAGCAGGGGGAGAATTAAAATCCCCTTTGTGTCTGTGAAGTTACGACGAGCAATGTAGAATTTGCGTAAATCTCGTGGTACATTTTTATCGGTATGACTTTATGTCGAATATACTTGTGACGCGATATGCATGTGTGTGTTTATGCGAATTGTGTGTAACACCGTCTCTCTCGTTCTTTTTTTCTTTTTTTAATAAAGTTTCCCTATATATACAAAGCGCTGCAATTATGTCCTCTCATTTCGCGCGTTTCAATCCACTCCCATTAATTGCGAATGTATAAAAATAAAAGGAAAAGCGAGCGAATCGGCCTTTATTTCGATGTGTATTCTCTCCGTAATGAAACGACGAAAAAACAAAGAAAACAAAAAGAAAGAAGATGCGCGAGTTATGTGCCCGGGAAGTGTCTATCCCGACAAGAATTCTCTTCCTTTCTCCGTGATGAAAGTGCGATGCGCACATTGTGGGATTATTATGAAATAATATCCTCGTACTTTGCGTGTCACGGGGCACTTCGTGCCGAGGGCATCTCTCTCTCTCTCTCTCTCTCTCTCTCTCTCTCTCTCTCTCTCTCTCTCTCTCTCTCTCTCTCTCTCTCTCTCTCTCTCTCTCTCTCTCTCTCGAAGGCACCGCCGCGCAAATACGAAATACTTCTCATACCTGCCGCCGCGACTTATAATACCACCCATGCAAATGAATCTACCGTCAGGAACGTTCCCCAACCTTGACGAGACACGAATACTGTTCCTTTCGCTTCGACGTAAATCGCGCAAAATTACACGGCGGTGAATTCGAGAAGGAGAATTTCGGCTCGAAAAAGGCGAAAGTATCTCAGAGGCTTGACGTGAAAGTAAAAATTATCTCGCACGCGTTTAGGTCGTCATTATTAATATTGCTAGTGTTGTCATTAATATTATTATTATTATTTCTAGATAATTATATCACTGGACATAACAAGTCTGCTACTGTAATTTGCTTTCAATTACTTAAATTACATGAAACACGTTGTACCGTTTAAAAACAAATGCAAAACCAACTCATACTCGCTTGATGAGTTTAAAATCAATCGTGTTCTGCAAATCGCTCAGCTTGTGGTCGATATTTGAGGGAAAATGGCTGTTTATGACGAGTACGCTGGGCCAACATTGTGAACATTATCGTAATATTAACAGAATTCATGGAATTGAACGGCATCGTAAACTTTACATTAAACGGGACAGTGAAATTAAGAAACGAGATACGAGGGACGAGAGATGTCTCTCATTTAGGCATCGACACGATCGCGCAATGTTTGCTGCTCGATACGATTTAGTGGCGAGCCTTAGACGAAAGTAAAGTACACGCGACGTAAGTAACGGAAGCTTTTAACCGAGACATCGGTCACTCGACCGCGTATCACAGGTCACGGCTGATCGGCGAACGATCACGATACGATCACGAGAGAATCGCGCGTCACGAAGAACAAAAGGGAAATTATTCGGCTCATGGGACTGCCGCGGCTCGTAAATACGTAAGAATAAAAAACACGTCCTTTCATCTCTGGTTATTAATTCATCGCTGGAAAATTGCCGGTTCGATATCAACACGTTGCACGTGCCGCTTGTTACGTTTGTACGCGACAACAAGTTATATTCGTGTGAAATGTTGCAAATGACATTTGTTTTCTGCGTAACCGTGAAGTACAACGCGCCGGGAAAGTGGATCGTGCTTATCGCGTCGCCTGTGACGCCGTAAACGTATTTCCTTTCAGTGGGTATAACGATCGGAAAACCATCGAGAGAGTCCTCCGGAGTCTTCGAAAATTTACGAGAAATTCCAGAGAAATTCCATCGAGAGACCGGAACGACGCGGTAGAGAAATTTGACTTTCATTCCTCGGCGAGGGAAAACCTGACCGACGAATGCTGGTCGTGCCATATAAGGCGTATATCCGCTTTGGTTTTCCGAGGGAGACAAACAGACATCCAATAAAGATTCATCAGACGCAATTTCCCACGTGGCGAGACAAACTGAAGATGCCTAATGAGAATACGCCTTTCTTTTCAGGGCAGACGCTCGCACACAAATTATTCGCAAGCAATTACTCTCGCGGACTAATGAAACGGCGCGTTAGTCTCTATTCTGTCGAGCGACGCGTGATCGATAACTTCGATAAAACAAGGAATTGCTAGCGTCCGTAGAGGCTAAATGGTGGTGGGTGACATTTCTCCTGATACTGCGAATACGCGGCAGCGTGATCGGGTTATTTGCTGATTTCTTTTAATTTCGATATTTCACCCGAAAAATAGGCTGATCGCTGAGTCACTCGGACTCCGATGATTTCTCATTCACATAAACTGAATTCTCCGTTTCGAGTCGTCGAGCGAAAATTTCCAGTCGATATTGAAGACTGGAGACTCGGTCCAACCACACCACAGAAATATAATCGATTAAAATCAACGAAAATATGCAGTTGGATGTTTTATTGTACAAATATATTCATTCAATTATTCATCTTTTCATATTTTTCTAGTGAAATAGAAGAGAAATCCGGTAGTCTTTGTCAGATAGACTGCGCACTCTCTGCATCCCCTGAGTCTTATCAACTTTTACCACAAGATACTTTTTACGCGCCTGATCAGGTTTGTAGTTTCTTCAAAAAAAAAAATGACGGGAAAAGAAGCAAAGGGAAATCTTTGCCAGGCAATTTGGTCGGCTAACCTTCGGCGAAATACCACTTTGACCATCCGAGCGGGTGAAATTTTTCAAAGACCGATGTAAACCTGTTGCTATTTGAGAGAGAGAGAGAGAGAGAGGGAGAGAGAGAGAGAGAGAGAGAGAGAGAGAGAGAGAGAGAAATATTCGTGCACCCCACAAAAACTCTCTCGACGTTAAGAAAAAGACTGTGGAAATAGCTTATGGAAATTCTCTCATCTGTGGAAACTTTGCTTTCACGTTGCGCCCCCAAAATAGATATCACGTCGCGCAACGTGTTTTTTCCCTTTCGTCTAATGTATTGTCTCCTAAATAATGTGTCGTCTCCAAGTGTGATCGCGTTTAGATTGCCGAACGGCAAAATAGCGTGCACATTCGTCTAACGCTTGGGAGGCGGCCGGGATTATTCGGCCGGCGCGAGAGAAAATATGCAGGCGAAGAAGGCACGTGTCGGCGTAAGATGGCCCGAAAGATCCGTATCGGCTTAAACAACCGCGCCGACTGTTTCTGAAATGAGCGACCCTACCTTGAACAGGGCGTGCAGAGGACACGCGTGCAATCGATAAGCATGTACTATCTTTTTCTAAGCACGTGGATCAATGGGAAGGACTTAGAGGCGCGTTCTCGCTCCGGAGCGCCTCGCGGCTAGTCGAATCGATCCGTTTTGTAATTCTTCCGAAATATACGTCCCCGCGATATACGCGCGTCGAGCGAAATAGTTGGAAATAGTTTCTGTCGAACGAGGGAGAATGACCGCATCATCGAGAAGGTTCTCATATTATTCTTTCTCTCTGTTTGTCACTCGCGAGTGCCTATCGATTTTCAAACGAGTATTCGACGGTAAAGCAGAGCGCGTCGCTTTCGAACGCGAGACCACCTCTCGTTGATCAAGTTTGCGAAGCACATTGACGCATACTTTCTCGACTGCCTACATTCTGCTTTCCGTGAGATAATTAGAAGCATACTAAGTCCCTTGAACGAATCAATCAATGAGGTGGAAATCCTCATCGATGATGCAAGAAATGAGCGATGCGGAATTGGTGAATCGGTTTTCGCCCTCTCTTTCTCTTTCGTCGAAAGATCTGTTTGATATTTTTAATAAATTCTACTTATTAGATCCGTTGTCAATAATCTTTCGCCAATGTGATGTTATTAACTGTCGTTGCTAAAAACTTTACAGGACATGTGGAAGTGCAGATCAATTGTTTCAATCGTCTTCGAACTTGTTTCGGATGTTGCTCCTTGCAGCGGATTTTTGTCCTTCAATAATATTTAAATTTTTGTCGAGTGAAGAGAATTTATTGCTTGTTGGTAAACGGAGACGAACATTTTTCCGACCGACGCTATTAGAGAGAAGCTTGTCGTATCGTTGAATTATACTGTTCGGAAATGAAATCCCTCTGATCCGCCGTTGGGCCGTACTAGCACTGCTGTATCTACTGCCGTAGATTCAAACCCGCTAGACGGGTCTTTTCGCGACTACCGCTTGATGGCGGTAAATTGTTCGTTACGTTTCAGCGGATTCGATCACCTCAAAGTGCAAATTCCTCAGCTAAAACGTGAGTCGAGATTTCGATTGTACCTTAATCCTACAAAATACTATCCAACTCAAAGGATTAATTGAGAATATCGAGATGCAAACAGGTTTTTGACTCTACCTCGATGTCGCAATATCTACTTACCGTCGTTTCCTCGAAGCTCTCGAAGCTCCATGAAGAAGTATTTATCGAAAAATTCGTATTTCATACTGGATAATCGCAATATTCTCATTTAATTTTTATCCTTAAGTTTAATGAGCAACGTATTAATCACGTAACTTCAATTCAAGACAGAATATGTGCGATGATTCACTGGACACTCACGCGAATACGATCCGACCGGAGAAAATGGCCGACGGATTATTTCGATCACTCGACAAAATAATCAAATCACCAAATTAGCTGGATAATTTCCACTCTGGGAGCCTGCGTTGTTTCTACCGCCAAACCAAGGCCGTAGTACAACTCGATGGCAAGCCGGACAACGATTTTTCGTTTCGAATAGTACGACTGAACCGAGGACGAACTGAAGGATCTCTCATTTTCAAGTAACGCGGACGAGAGAGAAGAAGAGAGGGAGTCTCTCTTGATCTCTTGTAATAAATTTACATACAAACGCCTCATTGAATATTATTAGTAATGATAATTTAGCAGATATTAACGGAGACTTACGGAGAGATCAAATTTTCTGAATCGTTTATTCGGACGCCGATTCCAGCATCGCCCATTCCTAATCGGCGCGCATGCAAAGCCACTTACCTTGAGCTGTTCCTGACGGCGATACGCGTGCAACATCAATTGTTTCCGCTCGTCTTCCGACATTAACGGCTCCCTCGCCGGTCTACCGGATCCTCTCTTCTGCAGCTTCGCGATTATCTTGGTCTTCTCGTTATTACCGAGGAAATCCTTCATCTTCTTCCCCGGTGTTAACTCCTTGCCGGAAAACCACAGCTGAGCCAGTTGCTCGTCGATTACCTGCGAAAGGTGAGTGTATTCTCAAGCGTCGACGATGTCGTCGATCCTCGCAATCTGCGACTTCATACCTTCGCGAGTAACGTAAATATTTGAAAGAAGCTTGCGTTTCTTTTACAGTCTGTTCAACAAGAAAGCGTTGGTGATATTTTTGTATAAAATCATAGTAGCACCATCTACCTTATACCGTTTGAATCTTGAATCTAACTTCTTTTGCGCAGTATACATCAAAAAGTTGCATCGAGTAGTCATTAAAAGTAAACATTATTTTTAAAAATAAATGTAAAATATTTGAAGCGTCAGGAGGCGGGTTTTCTTATTAACCATTCTAAAGGACTAAAGGACCAAAATTAACAACTGCAAAATTAACAATCGCGACAACTGCTAGAGCAATTAGAAAGTCAGAGGCTTTCGTAAGGAAGTGAGTAAATAGATTTAAAACTGCTGGAAATGTTGACGACCTGCCAGGAAGGGTGCTGTCTCATACAACGACTCCGAAGGAGAACAAAGCGATCTTGTGTCTTTTTCAAACGAATCCCAGTCTCACCCTGCGTTAGGCCCAAGTAAAACTCCGCCAAAAGGTCAACATATCTCGCTTAATACTCAGCTTAATACTCGCTTAATAATCAGAAGCCGCCTGCATAAAAATGATGCGGCATCGCCACATTTCGGTCCACCATGAAAAAAACCACTGCTGTCAGAAAAGTTAAAAAATGACATAACTACGTATGATGGATTGGTCGGTATTCTCTCCAGACGCAAATCTCATCGAAAATATGGTGTGGTCATACCTTAAGATGAAACTTAAAGGAAAGCGTGTCTTCACTTTTAAGCAACCGTGCATAAAAATAAAAACAATATGGCGTTCTTTACCAGAATACGCTGAAAATCTGGTCAAAAATATGCAAAAACGGTGCCAAGCAATAATTGATAATGAAAGCGTCTGGATCAACTATTAGGTAATTGCGCATTACTAAAAATCTTCTATTTTCGTTTAAAAAAAATCACTTGACTTTATCCTTTATTCTTTTCAGATTATCACCAACGTTTTCTTGTTGAACAGACTGTATATATCTCTGCATATTTCGGAGCGAAGAAGTGTAATTCTTCAGACGTTTAAAAAGCGCTCGATAAGTCAAAATGTCTTTGGAAATCTTTGCACTTGTGAAAATATATCAGGCTTCTTTTTCTAACGTGAGTCCAATTTTTAGACACATGTATACCTCGAGGGACGCCTGAGTGCCGGAGAGATCCTCAGTATTCTCAAATTCCTGACGTATCACATCGTGCGGCGGAAGCCCCATCGGATAAACAATCGTCACAGCACCTCTTAGTATGTCCAGAGCCTCTTGGACCGTCTTCTGTGTGACCAGCTTCTCCTGCTGCACTAATTTCTGCGGAGCAAGCAAAGGAGTGTCACGAGAATGCACGAATTGAGAGTGCGTTGTTGAGAGAAAAAAAAGCAAGAAACACGAAATGTAACGGATTGAGTTGCATTTACTTTTGACGTCATAGCACGCGCGTCTTCGATGGTTCTCTTCAGCACTTCCTGCATCTTCTCGTTGGGCTGCCTGCCGTTCCTACGACCTGCGGACAAGAGCACTGAAGCTTGTGACCCTCCTCCACGCGTCACGTTAACCCTTTAACGCCAGACTTTTTTATAAGTGTTTTAAGAATAAGATTTGAGTTTTTTTGAACTGAGACTGTAAGTAGTGATAACCAAAAGAAATATCAGAATTTTATATCTACGAAAAACTACCTTCCCAAGCAGAAACTACTCCCAGAAGCGAAAAATACGCCTGATCGGTTAAATTTCTTTTTTTAGTTTTAATAATTTTATATCATACCTAATGGTTGGAAAAATTCCTCGAAACATAAAACTCATATTCAGAACCTGATCTTTATTTACCCGCAATGGGATATAATAAATGAGTACAGGAAGTTTCCGCTTTTCGTTTGTTGGTTTCGTTAGTTTGGTTTTTTTATCGTTCGTTTTTTGTTTATTGGTAGATATGACTTGGATCCTAAAAGCATATACGAAATGAGCAACCTATGCGGAGAAAAATGAAGGGTAATCTATACGACATAACTCTGAAAGTCAGCTTGACATTTGTTGAGCTGAAACTTTACTATATTCGTGAGTGAAGTTTATCATTCAGAGCGTCAAGCTTAATATTTCAGAAGAATATCTTATAGATCACCATTTAGACAGTCAATCGTCCCTTCATTTTTCGCTGCATAAAAAAACTGTAGGTCACCAGGTTTCACGAAAATAGGTTGGTTCCTTGATGTTCGTGTCCACCGTATTGGATTCGTCATTTTGAATTTCTGTATTCTTTTAATTTCACATTTTGCATCTGAGAAAACTTCCAAATGTATAAAATTATAACAGATACCAATCTATTCATTTATAGTGCACTTCTAGATGTCAGTAACAATGCTATAACTATGTCTACTTGGAATTTGACAAAACATGTTATCATTAAAACTGAACTAAGAACAGACTAAACCGAATCTACATACAATCTATTATATGATATATACCAATCTATATACTATTTTTTCGAAGAAGAATTCACCTTTACAGTGATGCAAAGAAAACGAAAATATCTCCTTTTTTGATTAAGTTGTGGATTCTTAAATGCGTTTCTGGTAACTATAATTACCATAGTAGGCGTCAAAGGATTAATGAAACATCGCGCTAGTACTCGTTTCTTATCCCGAATGACCTCGCGTTACGCACAAGGCGAGGCGATAACTATTACCACCTTAAACATCCCGCCATTGAGATATATTGCCGTCGAGAGAAAAAAGCGCGAGTATCGCCGTAGGACGATCCCCCCGTTCCTGCAACGTGTAATTTCTGTTAGACACATTTTTCTCCCACTCTCATATTTGGAGGATCACTCACGGCGGTAATAGTTATTGCCTCGCCTGGTACACGTCATTTTCGATTATTACAAGGCGCTCGCGTCCCGCGTAAAAAATCTGTTATTACTCTCCGTACTCTACTTCACCTACCGATCTGGTCTTTGTTGAAAGTCCAGCCGCCCATGGGCACGCACCTGTCAGCCCATTCGTCCTTGAGTTTGAGCTCTTGGACCTGCTCGTCCGTGAGACCCATAATGTCAGGGGGTAGCATCGGGCCGTGCTTGGCCAGCTCCTCGATCTCTATTTTTCGTGCAGAGGGCAAGAGAGAAACGCTCACATGAGAAACGAGAGAGAGAGAGAGAGGGAGAGAGGGAGAGAGGGAGAGAGGGAGAGAGAGGGAGTGGGCGATATACGAGAGGGCGAGCGCTCCCCTGGTCAAGTATGAGTCCGTATAATTATTATCCGCGCGCGACGTGTGACTAATATCACACAGCGCTGAGGATGGATGGGTTCATAAACTCGTGGCCTCGACTTCTTATTACACGCTGCTATTACGAGCCGCGGGTGCGCCCCGAAGAGAGATGATCGCTAATGGATTTCTCGCGTTAGTATTTCGACCGCGAGCCGGAACCCGGCGCGCTTCGTATCGCGAGTAATCGATGTTGTCCTCGTCACCGCGCCTGCGACGTCCTGTCCGAGACGCGTCCTGCGTGCGCCGCCTTTTCAGTTCAGCTATACTCACAATCAGCCTTAGATTGCTGCTTGTAGGCTGTTCCGAAAGCTGACACCCTCAATCTTAATCTTAATCTTAATCTCTGCCTCTTCATTCAAACATGACGAGAAGAGACGGGCGGTGTGATATAACTCGCGATTCTAACTCCGTCGATTTTGAAAAGTGCCGTGCTAAAAATGGGAATTAGCATTTTAAGTAGGCTCTCGTTCAATTTATAGGTTTTTAATTCGGCAGCAAACGGCAGACTCGGAAACTCGGTGCCTTGCGTATTATTATTTCTTTAAGCCTTTGCACTCGGAGCCATCTCGCGGATTGCCTCTACCTTAAGCCCGTGTCATACTACGGATTGAAGATCAAGGATTGCGGATTGAAGATTGAAATTTGACCAATCGGAATAAAGCAAATCGAAACCGAAGTTCGTTGATTTGTCGAAATCTAATCTTCAATCCGCAATCCTTGATCTTCAATCCGTAGTGCGACACGGGCTTTACAACAGCTCAGCGGTCCTTTTTCGGAAAAATATGCAAACAGGAATCGCGTCATATTAAATAGTGTAGTTTTGAAACCGAGTAATTTATTGTAATGGTATTCGGTTTATACGAATCTTTAGACATTGAGGGACATATTTATGACAAAAAGATCAACATTTTACATCTTATATTTTTCTAACGTGTGGTAATGTGTGAAACGGTGACCGCATTGATATGCATTGCAGGTTCGCTTTGCCATTGTTCTGTAAACCAAATGAATGGGTCAGCAATTTCGAACTGTAAATTATGAAATCACACAAAACGAAGTTTATTAAAAGAATATTATTTTTTCAATTCTACTTTCCTGACTTAGTGCAGCGAACGATCTGTGCCGCTCGATACTTCAATACGATCTGCTTTTAGCTTCGAAAGTCTCTTTCTCTTAGGCTACAGTCTAAGGCTTGCTTGTTTATCTTCTCAAATGGCACCATATCATGTGCCATATACATCAGCAAGAAAACGTGCATTTTGGACAAATTTGCGCTCGCATAAGTTTCTGTCCTGTGTATAATCACTAATAAGGTCTTTATGTCCCCTGAAAGGGGACATCCGAGTGCAAAGGGTTAAATATATAAGAATGTGATTATGTATATATAGCTGTGCCGTCCGAAAATGTTGCGACGTGAATCTCACCAAGCGGCTGCTCGGTCTCACTGTGCGACATTTTAGAATAACCTCGTGAGTCACCGGCTACGCTTTCGCGGGACATTTACCGTAGCAGATCCTGGAGATCTTCAGACGACCGTTGTAGATGGCCACGATATCGCGTATGACGTCGTTCACACTCGCCTCCAGCTGGGTGTCGTAGAGAAACTGGCTCTCATCACCTTTTTTCACGTGCAGCCTCACCATTCTGTCGAAGGGCCCGAGAGACTTTCGATTCGGACGGAAATCTCCGCGCTGTCGAGCCGACCTGCCGATATTCGCACCGATACGAAAATATCCCCGTTACCTCGTGCGCTGCCCAACGAGACGAAGCGATTATGCGTCCAAGAGTAAAAGTTCCGTCAAGTGCATCGACAGTCACGAGGCACTAAACAACCGTCGTGCGTGTTAACGCGATAAAAACAGCCTGAACGTCGGCTCGCATTGTCCGTGGTAACGCGCGTTATCGATTAAACAATGTGAAAGCGCGCACGACTGGCCGTCGATGTGCGAGAGAGGCTGCCGGTGTGAAGGGTGACTGAGATGAAAAGTTTGCACGGCGCGCCGATAAACGCCAACGACGACGTTGAAACAACAATCAGCGTCGCGCCGGCACTGATAAGAGGAGAGAGCGGGCGAGGAGAAGGCGAGACGAATAAGAGAGAAAAGGCAGAGAGACGTGGCTCGATGAGTATATAACTGCTGTTCATTATTACTTAATATACATATTTACATTCTAGTGGAACACGGATTACAAGAATAAAGACGTTCATATGTCGTTACAAATACGAGGAAACGCCGACGACGCACTCGCCGCGCTCCTACTGGCGTTTTGGACACAAAAATATCATATATTTGCGTATGTGTGTTTGTCTGCGTGTGATTGCTTAACGTCGATATATATATATATATATATATATTTATATATAATATAGTAGCAATTGATCAATAATATTTTAAATATTCTCGACGTAATGACGCTGTGTGTATAGAATAAAAATCTATGGTACTCTTATTACCATCGTAATCGATAATAACTCTCTCCGCTAATGTATAAGTGACTAGTATTACGTTAAAATACACTTAGAATTCGATTCGATGAGGTGCATCATACGCAGATTACTTCCTGTTCTGGGGTCCGAACGAAGGTGGTCCCTATGGTAATTGTTGTTGCACACGAACGTTGCCGAGCGATCAGGCGTTCTTCTCAAGAAACGCGCGAGCGTCCTAAACCCGCGAGCTGTCGATCGGTCGGCCCGCGCGGCGATGATTCGGCGAGCAGACAGCGGAGACAGGGTCGTTTGCTTGTTCCTTCTTGTTTTTGCTCTTTTGCGTTGTTATTACTATTGTTGTATCTTAACTCTTAACATCGACACGAGTAACAGTGACAATTGCTTGCGCCGGGCGGACTTGGCCGCCACTCGCGCGACGGAACAACGAGAGATTTCGGAAACTTACGCTTTACTCAAAATCCTTTCGCATTGCTCGCGCGACCGCGTCGGTCGCGGCCGCGACGATAGATCTATGTGAGAATTACGAGCAGAGTTGCACAAACGCACTGCTTCATTTTATAGAGTGCGGATCGGCGCTTCCCTTCTTCCCACGCGCGCGCTGCTGCGCTCCGAAAAATGGTTCCGACACTTTTAACTCGCGCGCAATTCGAGACGCGACAAATGCTCCCCCGACGACGAGAGAACTTCATTTCCCGGAATTGTGCAGAAGCGAGTTTTCCCGTGGAAACCGCCCGCTGCGTTCCAAACTGCATGAAAATAAAAAAGAGAGAAAAAAAGTTGAAACCGTTTTGAGAGCCAGTGCATGTGCGTGGAATGAGTATATCTTTCATTGAAAAATATTTCTGAAAATTAAAGAAAGGTGAAAACAAATCAAAAGCACCAGCACGACCGAGTCGTGTCGACGGGGCCGATTGTTGAAAATATTCCACGTCGGTCCAAATAGCACAGGCGGAAGAAAAGGAACGGAGGGACATTTTCGAAAAATTGCGGCCGCGAGTTATTGCCGCCTCGCCACACCGTTATTGCGCGCTTTTTTCATAATAATCCGAAAGACGAAGCAGTGCTTCGCGCAATCACCGCCAGTGAACCGGCGCGCGGTTTCTCCTTTTACAACAAACGCGTGCTCGCGCGCGCGCGCGCCTATAAAAGCGCGCGTATAAATAGACATATGTGTACGTGCGTGTACGCGACATTTACATATTCGCCCGTCTACGTGTAACATTTATGGAGGAGGAAGATGCCTCGACCGACGAGTGTGTCAACTACCTTAACGTGTTACGGCTATATACCATAGAAAAATTGGCATTTTTGGTCCGAACGAAACATACGAAATGCGTGAATCTTCAGTGTGTCTCTGTGTGTTTGTCGTCTGTTTGTTGTGTATATGTATGTGTGTGTATTCAGACAGTTCCGTAGCTAGGCTGTCAGTCCCGGTTTAGGCGCTGAACGGGAACATTTAACGGTCAACATCTTTGTTACAAAAGAACGCGCGCGCACGCGCGCGCGGCTGTCGGCCGCCAGCTCGGACACGCGCGGCTTCGCTGTGCGCGGCTAAAAACGGCTCTCGCCGCAAGATCCGCCAGCGAGTGGCACTCTGTAATTCGAATCCGCACAATCTACACAACGAGGTTTCATGAAACGATGAAACTCCGAGCCTCGAATTCGCCGTTTTTCCCATTTTGTTTTTTTTAATTTTAAAATACCTCCGGCGATGTGTGTGCGATATAAAAAATATCTGACGTTCAATCGAGCGAGGAAATCGCATTGGGTTTGGATAAAAAATCCGATATATCGCGAGATATATCAGAGATATTTACATATCTCTGATACGAGACATATCAGAGATATGTACATAAAATGTAAAAATGCAAATAAAAAAAGAGAAATACTCTTGGCTGTCGAGCTGACGCGACCTACCTAATTCTAACGAAAAGCTCGAAACGATAACTCATCGTGCGTTCATGAGGAACTGTCGACACGCGTGAACGTCGCGGAAATAATTTGTCATATCATCATCGTCATATCGTCATCGTCGTCCTTTACCTTGGTCGTGCTCTCACGTGTTGCTCTGTCTTATTTCTTTTTCTTCTTCAATATAGATACGAGTTCGCTATGTTACAGAGTAAAACCCACGAAGCCGCATCTTCGCGGGAAACACACACGCATAGCCGTCGAAAATACCGAATGACGTCTATCGTTTAGGATCGCAAGCGGGGACGGGCGCTCCTCGGCTGCCCGTCGATCCTCCGAAGGTTCGATTTCGCGAAAGAGATCGACGGAACCGCAGCTAAGATGCGGTCTCACAGATCACGCGATCTGGGTTGGGGGGCACGGGGGCTGAGTCGATAAAATTTCATAAACTCTCGAACAACAACAACAACAACGACATCGGAACACGGACTGCAAAAATAACGGGTCGTCCTTTGAATCCTGAATAGGGCCGATTTATCGAGATGCGCGTGCGCGAGCCACCTTCGTTATTCGCGTCGAATTTGCCGAGAGATCGTCCCATTCTTTTTCTCCCCCTCTCTCTCTCTCGCGCGCGCGCGCGCGGCATCCTGCCTCGCGACTTTCATGACAAACGGACGGCAAGATCTTTGGACAGTAAACGTCACACGGGGGATTCTTCTACCGCTACGATAAAACCGGAGGTGCTTATCTCGAGAGTTCAGAACCGGTCGCTGAACCAAGCTAACTACGACATCGATAGGTTTTGGTACTGATCGCACAACCGATCGAGATTATTCCTCGTCGATGGTAGGCTGGACCTGTAGCGTGTCCTTTAGGATCCTGCGCTCGTGCTGCTGCTGCTGCTCTTGCCCGTCGGAATCCTGAGCGGAGGAGGAGGAGGAGGAGGAGGAGGAGGATGATGAAGAACCGTGCAACGAGTCGCGTTGCACGGTAGCCTCCTCTCAAACTTTGCTCTCAGGCCCATCGGTAGTGTGCTTGAAGGAGTTGCGGATTTTGCTTAGATGAAGAGCGGCGATGTGCCCGTAGCTCTTGTTGTACCACTCAGGTGTGCGACCTCTGAAAACGGATCAACAACCCCCTCGAGTTAGACTTTGGCTCGAAAATCAATCGAGCGGAACTCCTACAGCTCCGAGCGAATTTCGCGAAGAAAGTTTCGGCAATTAATTTTGAGCTACGGTAACTGAGAGTCATCAGACGAGACGGGAATGCGCGTCGCTCGAGAAGGGAATTTACAACGTTTACTTACTTCGTGTCGACTCTGGATAAATGCATAATGCGGGACTTGCCGCTGCCGCACGGCTCGATAAGATAACGAGAAGCCAAAACGATGCCGCGGGTCCCGCCGAGCATAACCGGAGCGTCTGGGTGCTCCACGGATGTTTCGACGATGACGCAAGCACCTTTGGGAAGGTCGTTCCGCCAGGATCTGCACAAGGATTACGATTGCGTTGCTCAAAGACTCGGACAAGTCGAACACACTCATCCGAGTGTTTCGTAAGATAAGAGGATTTCTTACTCGCGCATGAAGGACCAAGCCCTCGAGCGTGCACATCCAGCGAAGGCCGCCAAGGACACGCAAGTTATAACTCGTCAACTTATAACTCGACTCCAAACTGATCAATTTCAACCTAATTCTGTTTTTAATACGACAAAGCTACGGAAAAACTACGGAATTTTATGACGACAATGTAAAAGTCGATGAAAAATAATAAAAGAGTGAATAATTAATTGCGTAAAGCAATACATTTCAGGAGGTACGGAAAGTTTATTAATAAATGTACAGTTTTTAAAAATATTTGCGACAGTAAAAGCTACGTAATATCTAGATATTTATTTCTTATACCATCATCCTAAGTAAGGTCCTAGGTTTCTTTCTTATATTAATGAAAATAAAGAAATACAAATAAAAAAGCCGGATTAAAATTAATCGATTTGGAGTCGAGTTGCAAAGATCGATGAAGCAGACTTGCAGCTGTGTGTGTCTCCTTGTTGTGCTCGAAGGATTGAACGTCGCAACGTTCACTCACCTTAATACGCAATAATCTCTGGCGGGCAGCGGGCTCATGTTCCCGGTGGCATATTGGAAGACCTCCACGTTGGTGTCCAGCTTGTTCACCAGCCTGTACTTCAAAAGCTGCGGGTCCCAGATGTGTCTCTCCCTCAACACACGATGCAGCAGTTCGTTCGGCGGAGCCTCGACCTCCGTCGACACTCGCCAGAGACGGAGCGGATGTCCGTCGCCCACCTTCTTGTACGCCATTTCTACGGTGCTATCGGCCGGATTGTTCACAGTCATCCAACCGCGACTTCTGCTGGAACAGATCGCGAACAGTTTTCACTCGGCGTGTCCTGCTCACCTACGCGCGCGCGCGCGCACGTACTTGGCGCGGCTTGTATCGCTGTAATTTTGCAGACTCTCAGTCTGTTTATTCGAGACTTATTTCTTCGAAACAGATCCCCTAGATCTCGAGTGAAAGCTCCATCTGCCTCGCAATCGTTCGCAAGCTGGACGTGTGGACACGACGACGACGACGTGTACTCACTTTTCTCGCGCTTCCTTCAGCAACGCCGTGGTGCAAGCGTACAGGTAACCTCTCCAGTCCTGCTTGAGTTCCGAGCCGAGTTCCTCGAGCGCGACCGGAATGCTCTCCTCCATGTAGTTGAAGTGACACTGCGTCAACATGTCCGACGAGACCTGAAAGAGCCGGAAGGAGCGTGAGCGAGCTCTTCTCAGCGAGCGTGAAAACTCGCTTGGATGTCGACTCGCGAGCAAGAGAATGAGCGAGCGAGCGAGCGAGCGAGCGAGCGAGCGCGCGATCGCGATCGACGAGTGACTTCTCGGCTTCGGCACTCACCATGAATAATTCACGATGCATCTTGACCAGATACAGAAGACAGTCGTGAGCGGCTTTGTTTTCAGACAGTTCCCGCTGATCGGGAATGCCCACGGTCTTTCGCCTACGTGGCGACACGCTGCTCGACCTGTTGGTCACGCTCGTATTGCTGTGGTTGAAGTGGAACAGGCTCGGCGCCAGGCACACGGCCAGATTCGAGGCTGTCATTTGGTTGTAGGGCGAGTTGTTGGCGACGTGGTTGAGGAAGTCGAGCAACGTCTCGAGCGCCTCGCGGTGCTCGTCCGGCAGCAGCAGCAGCACGCACTGCACGGCGTCGGGCCGCAGGTCCACCGGCACATCTGCGGGAGGAACGGCCTCGTTCTCGCAAGGTCTCACATTCTCGCGCTACGTCCGCGAGTGACGTAACACAAGAGCAAAATACACAGCAACTTACGTTGGAAGATGGCGATGAACGTCTCCGAGAGCTTGTTCGTCAGGAGGGCCTCCGGCAGCTCCCTGAAGTACTGCTTCACGAGGTCGGCGACGTCGAACGCCTGTTGGCCGTCGAAGTTGATGTTGTCGCCTTGAGTCTCCGTCATGACCTTGAGCTTCTGTATCCTCGACTTGACGCCGCTCTTCCGGAAGATACCCACCTGGTCCAGAGCGTTCGCTCTCAGCCACCTCAGAGCGATCTGAATGCACTTGGGCAGAGCTTGGCCGGTTCGCTGCAGCGACAGCAACAGCGGCACTCCAAACACAGTCTTGTCCTTGTAGTCCGGCGTCTTGATCTTCCTGATGAACTTTGGCAGCTCCCAGTTCCAGCCGGTGCGATGAGTCGGACAGTACCGTTCCATGCAAGCCGTGAGCTTCAGCAGCGCCAATTTCCTCAGGACGAGCAGTTGCCCGCAAGACATGGAGGCCATCGCTCTAGGGCACAGAGGATCCAACGGCTCGGGGTAGAGCGATCCTCTCTGGAAGCTGTGCCACCTGACCACGGTGCCCTTGTGTCTGGGCGACTCTTCCTCCTGATCAGAGTCCCTGCTGGCCACGGTGGAGCCACTTTCTTGGCTACCTGCCAGTTCCGAGCTCCTGGACCGGGACTTCTCTCGATACACCGTCACCTCCCTCGAGCCGGACTTGCCGTCCCTGTAGGAGTCGTCGCGGTGTCGGAAGCTCTTGTGCATCTTGTCCTCCCGCTTCAACGACGCCACCTTGTCGTCCTTGTAGCTCCGCTCTTGGCCTTGGGCGAGCTTGTCGCGGTACCTCTGCGACTCTTTGCCGAGGTTCAGGCTGCCGCCGCGGGTGTTGATCGGCGGGTTCTTCCCCGGCGACTCTTTAGGACTCTGCGGATGCGCGTTCACGTACTCCAGCACCTTGGCGTGGTTGCTGTTGGCGTCGCGGAAATACCGATGCCGCCAGTTGGTCGGCTGGCACTCGGAATCGCTGAGCGCGCCCTGATCCTCGCGGCCGCGGTGGAGGAACCTACGCGCGCGGTTCAGCTTCGTGCGAGTCGGCGTGGGTGTCGGCCCGCCACCCTGTGAGCCGTCCGAGCAGTAGCTGGAGGAGTCGTCGCCGAAGGGGCTAGGCGCGTTCGTCAACGGCGACGGCGGTAAGTGGTAAGGTGAAGCCGGCAAGGTGACCGGCGAGCCGGGCACCGGGAGAGGAGAGCCCGACAGGAGGTCAGCGAACGACACCGGCGCCGGGCCCGTGGGTGACACGTCCACGCAGTTGAGCTCCTTCATCTTCTGCTGCATGGACATCACGTCGAGCACCTGCGGCCCGCTGATCACGACTCCGTCGCGATTCTGGCGCTTCCGTCGCCGCGACTTGAGAGACTCGACGCGCCTGAGGAACGCCTTCGCGCCGTCCCGCAGCCTCTCCGAGCCGGTCCTGCGGAAGCGCGGGCCGATCTCGTCGGGGAGGGTGCCCGGTGGCAGGCTGCCGTACCGCAGGTTCTCCAGCATCGTGTCCTCCGCCTCCTCGGCCTCCAGACGGTCCTCCAGCGAGTCCTCCTCGGACGCGGCGTTCTGTCCGGCGATCGCCTGCAGCCTCTCGACGTTCGCCTGCGTCACGTCGACTATGCGCGACCAACGCCTCGTCTTCTTCTCGAAGGTCCAGTTCTCGCTCAGCGCGCACTGCGTGTCCTCGTCGGACTCGTCGCCCCCGCCGCCACCGCCGCCGCCGCTCTGTGCGACAATCAGAGAGAAACGATGGCAACGTGATTTTTTAAGTCTTCAGCAAATCTTAACGGTACAACTAGCAAACTCGACATTTCTCGTAAGAACTGCCCGCAACGATGCGTTCTACTAACGTTAGCGTCGTTCAGCCTTTGCTGCACAATGGTTCTCCCAGAACCACATCATCCACATCATCAGAGTGCTATCCATCCAAGCTTATTTTTCCAATAATTTAAATTTTTCACATATTTCTTTAGCATATTTGGTATTAGACTACTGAGAAATGTTCCTCTAATTAATACGTCAACTTTTAGAGTCATTTCAAACGAGTAATTTCTTATTAATAAACATATACTGAACGAAACTGTCGTTTTTGGGGAATAAATTCGTTTACATGAAATTTTAAGCGATAACGTATACTTCAAAATCATTATCCGGGGATTTTCGGGATCACTGAATATAAATCCGGTGTGAAAAATACACATTCAAAATGGCGGATCCAATATGGCGGACGGATTTTCGAAATCACTCGAATTCGCTTGAAACTCAGGGGCTTTTGAGAAGGCGCTGAATACGAATCCGGTGTGGAAAAATACAAAATTCAAAATGACGGATCTCATATGGCGAACATAATTATGCTGAGATGAAACAAGCTGACTGCGCTTGAGAACCGGACAACCTGAACCGACGGCAAGGTCAACCGGACCTTGCCGTATATATCCGTCATCGCTCTGGCATTTTGAATTTTCGATAACGAATTTGTAATTAGCAACGTCAAAAACCCTTAAATAACAAATTTCATGCGAATTCGGCTGATTTTGAAAAGTTCAACCACCGTAGTTGGATCCGCCATTTTGAATTCCGTATTTTTCACACCCACCTGGGATTTGTATTCAGCGACCCTGAAAAAAAACCCCGAGTAACAAGTTTCACAAAATTATATCCAACAACAGCAACAGCAGCAAAGAATTAATCTACGATTAACTATTCTTCGGACTTGGCTCCTCGGGGTTGGAGGAGTCCTTCGCTCTTTCGCGATCTCGTCTCCGACGCTTCTCGGACGTTCCAGTCCACTTCGCGGGGAGAGAAATTGATCAGTCGAGTTTTGCTTCGGTCGGAGCGGATTCGAGTCAATTGTTTGGTTCCCCGGTGAAACCTTTGAAGCGACATTTTGCAGATTGTCACGTCCGTTGGCTCGATCGAGCGGATACTTTCTCAAGTCGGCCATGTGCGGTCGGCCCGACTTTCCTCGCGCGAAATGAGCGATGAACCGCAGGCGTGATTCACCGGGCGATCCGGATGCGGACCCACGGGTCCGGGTCCCGAAACACGATTGGGACCTCGCGGTCGTATGAAGGCCCGCTTCGCTTCGCCTCGCGTGGGATAATTCCGTCACGTGCAAGGTGCGATTCCCGCGAGCGCGAGCGCAGATGCGAGCAAGGATAATAAATCGGCGGCGGCGGCTTGTGTTTAATCCGGAAGAACCATCCGCGGGATTACGGCGGGGCTAACAAAGTGACTCGGGCGGACGCGAGCGTGTGACTCACGCGTTGTCCATACGCGCGGGAGATTAACGATCCCCGGCGAGTGTTTAACGAACGACGGTGAGATGGATGGGTCGGGAGGGCGGGAAGGAGGGAGGGGACGCTTCATAATCAATTTGTAGCGACAAATGAAGGACCGGCGTCGGGGAAGAGCGCGAGCGTGCGCTTGTAATTAATTGTAGAAAGTGTTCCACGCTCGCGCCGGTCACTTTTACCGCTCGTAATCGTCGACGGAGTCCTGAGGGGTCACGAGTCAAGCGCTTCCCGTGGATAACGAGAGAAAGAAATTATCAGCCGATAAGCGCGAAGGCTTAACTCCTCGATTAGAAATTTATCCCATGGTCCTGATCAGGTTAACCTCATTTGGACATCAGGTCTCAATAAGGTAATACTATCGGGTCCTAGTGAGTCATGTAACGTAGCGTGGATACCAGGACCCTAGTAAGGATTCATAGGTTATTGAGTTACCTTATGGAATCCTTATTACGTTTTTTTTTTCAAATTGTGGCTCCTGATCACTTACTCGCTATATTGGATGATGACGTTAGAAATAAGAAAATGACACGCTGAAAATTCTTTCATGTTATTTCCAAATAAAAAGATATTTGCATGAAATAATATTTTAGATCGCTTGAGCATACTTGTAAAATGTTTCGGAAAAGAAACATAAAATGAATATCACAAGATCATAAAGTATCGCAAGGTGACAAGACATAAAGTAGCGTTAAAGAAAAAAGTTGCGTGTCACGTTAATTTTACAACTATTTATTGACTGCTAAAAAAAGGATAGTTTCTATAGCATTTTACAAATATATTCAAGTGATCTGAAGTGTTCTTTCAATGCAAACATCTTTATATTTGGAAATGACACCCAAAAATTGTTTTGTTAAAACTTGATAATGCAAATCATATTAGGTACAATGAATAAGATCCCGACAAGGACCTGATTAACTGAACCATATTATATCATACACTAGGTTGATACATTAGGATTCTAATGTGGACCCAATTATTATAACCTTATAAAGGTCTTCCTTACTAGTTTGTCGTTAGGACATTACAAGGACTGACTTACTTAGGATTACCTTTCATTCATCCTATTTGGTCCTTATCAATATTAGATGAACCTGATCAAAATTTCTAGTCGGATCGCTGCCGCACCGGTGCAGCGAAAATCGAACGTTTTTCGAAAGCTCGACGGAGAGCGAGAAACTCGAGACTCTCGGGTCGGCGGAAGTCGCGCTGTCAGCGTCGGTCACGCGTGTTTCTCGGCGATATATGTGCTGCGTCCGTTGTAATTTATTTGTTTCCCCGGAAATGCTGTTTTCCTCGTCGCTTGCACGTCACCGTGATCGCGAGAGGTAAATTAGACTGTGACCGGTCGATGAAATTACGGAACATCGCGGAGACGTTTGCGAGCGAAATAAGTCTGCGACCGGTTCTTACCAAGTAGAAAAATTAACAGAGCTCCGATAAGGATCTGATTATTTTTTTCTGACATTAATCGGGCCTTAGTAGGGATAAAAAGACAAGGGCTCTACAAGATGTGTAACAAATGGTTTAACGGGTCCTTATGAGGTAATATCGATAGGGCGTTATAAGGAAATATTTTTATTATCGGTTGACTAAAAATATTCGTTCTTTTCATTTCAAGAAATTTAGACTGTAATTTCCTTATTTTTTCACAACCTTGTTAATATACAACAAGAATTTTTTATTTTAAAAATATGGCATACTTTACAATAAAATATAGCATTCTTTACACATAAAAATCCTGTTACTGTTTTTATTAAAGTTTGCTGCATTTCAATACGAAGGTAATACTAGAAAAACCCTTGGAAAAGGCTAACGAATATGGCAACTAATAAAACTAATAAAATTTGTTTTTAATTGCAGTTTAATTAAAAAATCTTTAAAACCGCCGGATAAAGCGTACCTCCTAAAACTAATACTAAACTACGACAATTTTATTACACGCTTCAGATCTTATTAATTTTCTATAACAAAACTTGATTTTGTATATCTAAAACTTCCTTAAAAGATCCTTCTAAGGCCCACGTCAGTTTTTCATGTTAAAGCGTTATTTCGTAAAATCAAAGGCGTTCCTAATAAATCCTTCTAAGGCCCTTCTCAGCTTTCCCTATCGAAGCCTTATTTATTAAATCTAAAACATTCCTAAAAAATCCTTCTGAGACTCTCATCAGTTTTCCTTATCAAAGCCTCATTTCGTAAAATCTAAAGCACCCTTAAAAGATCCCCTAAAAGATCGGGGCCTGATGTGATAATAATGAGGCATCCTACTTTCAGCCTTATCGGGGCCCTTCATAAGAATACTTTCATAAGAATGGCCCTGACAATTTTCCGCTCCGGTCGTCATTGTCAAGCTGCAGTTGACAACTAGACGTTGGCCGGTTGACGGAATAAATATCACAGAATGAATCTCGACGTGATTAAGCACCATCGTGTCTAATCGCGTCTCCAAAACGAAATTTGAAAATCGGCTTTCGACACCATCGGTTGTCGGCCGATTAAAAGTGCACATCGCAAGACGAACGTCGTCGCGTCTCCCAAAGAAACTTTTGCTTCGCCTCCTAAAGCTTACGACTCTCGTTATTGCTAGCTTATACGCCGCTGTTACGCCCGACGACTCGTCTGATGAACTGGCGCGATGAAACCGGGCCCCGCGTGTTCCTAATTCATCTCGAGAAGCTCCAGGCCGGACACAAGCCCGGCATTCAGACGCGCGGATCGCGCGCTTTTATCGCCGTGGTAAATTCCGCTTTATAGGAAAGCCGGAGCGAGTCGCTGGCCATACGATGAGCGTCGTAAAGAGGAAAGGGGGAGAGAGAGAGAGAGAGAGAGAGAGAAAAAAACGAGGAATAATTTACCAGAACGATCTTTCTCTCGCGTCGAGCGCCTAACACTCGAAATGGGTTTACGGCCTCCGAGACGCGGACGAAACGAACGAGCGGTGGTTGCTCGCGCGAGTTTCTTTCTTCCTCGTGCCTTTCTGCCGCGATTACGCGAGGCACCGCGATAATAATGAAGCGACGCCTCTTCCCGCGGCGATGTGGGCCACGGGTAAAAATACGCGGCATTGCACGCGCGGAGTATCGGCCGGGAAATAAGCGTGGGCGCGCCCGGCGGAAAATAGATTTTCGGGGATTTCGGAGTGCATTTCGCGCAGGGGGCTTTCGAAAGCTCGCCTTCCGATGCGACGGAAATAAAATCGTTCTGACTCGGGTGACGTCCGATCGCGGAGATGACGACGACGACGACGAGGACGGTGACGACCTCGGTGACGAGCGTCGGGCCTTCTGATGGGGTCCGCGACGACGAGGCTCACGTCGGAGAATTTAGACCAAATTATTTTCGCGACGCTAATTATCCCTCCACTCCCCTCCACCGGTGTCGTTCGCGTATAAATAAGACGTTTTCTTGGAAAACGCTTTCAGAAGGACGTCA